ACTTTCAGCAGGCGCCAATATTCAACACCAGGGAGTGGGGAATAGTCTGTGCATACAGAAGACTTTGAAGGTTCCTCTTGAATCCTGGCTCTGCTGCTTCCCGCTGTTGATCCTAGGCAAATAGCATCTTTTCAGCTCAGTTTTTTTAAGCAGTGATATCAGAACACTAAAGATCAGAAGTCCTAACAGATATCGGATTAAACGATGCACTTAAAGTGCTGGGTGCTATAGCTGGTAAATGGTTAGTGCTTGGGTGTTTAGTAGCCGTTACTGTGGTTATTGTAGAGGAAAGGCAAGGAATTGACGTTGTTTATACCTAATGTTGTAAAGTCAGATTTGAGGTACCTTCTGAGACTGACGTGCACTGAGATTGGAGCCAGGGAGAATGTTAGGAACTCTTGATAGGGATGAAAGTCAAGTGTTTTTCTATTTACCCAAGAGATACCATACTGGTAAATATATTTTCTGGCACTCCTGTAGAGCGTTTTTTTTTTTTTGTTGTTGTTGTTGTTGTTTGTTTGTTTGTTTGTGCATATAAGAACTGGTGTACAGGCCAGAGGTGCTGGGGGTGAGAGGGTTCACCAGAGACGAGTGAGGAGCAGATCTTCTGAAATACAGGGCTAAGGGGAGCAGCGGGCCGGTCAGGAGAGGTCTGCCGCACCATGTGGGTTGGCCCCCTGCCAGGAATCGAACTTGTGCTGCAGTGGCTGTGGATTGCTTCACAGTGCTGCACTTTAACCCCTTGTGCCACCAGGGAGGGCCCTGTATTCTTTCTTTAAAAATGGGTTTGCTTCTGTAAAATTTCTCTTCAGCCTAAAAAGCATTTCTTGAAATAAAGGCCCACCAGTAACAAATTATCACAGCTTTCTTTATCTGAAAATGCTCTTGCTTTGCCTTTAATGTTAAAGAGAATTTTAGCTGACTTTAGAATTCTAGACTGACATGATGGTGGTGGTGTCTTCTTTGGGAATTTTAAAGATGTTGTTCCATTGTTTTCTTTGCAATTATTTCTGAAGAGAAATCAACTGCCTTCTTGTCATTGTTTCCTTGTATGTCTTTCTGTTTCTAGCTGCTGTTAGGATTTGTTCTTTATTTTCAGTTTTTAGCAATTTGATTATGACTTGCCTTGGATGGGTTTCTTTGACTGAATCCTGTTTTAGGCTCACTAAACTTGGAAATGTGGGTTGATGTTTTTAATTAAACTGGAGAAAGTTTTGGTTGTTAGCTTTTGAATTTTTTTTCTTTTCTTTTCTGATTCTGTTTCTGCTTATGAAAGCCCACTTCATTTTGCCCTGAACTTTTTTTTTTTTTTTTTTTTTTACTCCTTTTTCTCTCTCTGCTTCTGTCTAAACAGCTTCTTTTGTGTTGTATTCTGGTTCACTGCCCTTTTCTCTGCAGTGTCTCAGATGCTGTTACTCAAACCTAATACATTTTTATTTCTGGTATTGTATTTTTTAATGATAAGATTTCTGGGGCTTTATTTTGGAGTTTCTATATTTTTCTTGACATTCACCAATCATGTTTATCATCTCCTTTATTTTTAGCATATTTGTAAGAGCTATTTTAAACTCCTGCTAATCCTATATCTGGGTTATCTGAGAGTCTGTTTCTATTGAATTTTCTTTTTATTAAGGCTTGACTTTTTTACTTCTTCATACCTAATCCTTTCTTTGTTGTGTAGGGGGCATTATGAACAAGTTGTAGAGATTTTTAGATTCTGCTATGTTGCTCTGAAGAGTGTTGAGTTTTATTTTAATAGGCGATTAAATCATGGGCAGATAACTTATTTGGGTATGTTTAAGTATTTTTAAGATGGATCTCTTTTGGTTTTTCTCTTAGTCCTCTGATGTAACCCTCAGTCCTGAAGTGATATCCTTTTTCCCAAAGCTGTCCTTTCTAGGTTCTGGTGGAAAGCCCAAAGAGTTTATCAAGTCCTTCTAAGTTAGTGGAACTAGGAAGTAACTTTAGGAGAAAACTCCTTTAATGTAGGATCTGACATCGTTCTCTTCCTTTCCTTGAGAGAGATTCACCCTTCCATTTTCTGCCTGGTTTTGATCACTCTTCAGTGCTTGTGAATTTTTATTTCATGTATTTGTCCAGAGTTTATAATAATTATTTGTGGAGGATTGTCATGATATAAACTACTCAGTCATTATTGGAAACAAAAGTTAGAAATCTGGTTTTGAGCAGAGTTGGTGGCTCAGCCATAGCAGTGTGATGCCTGTGCTTTGGCAGCAGGATGTACATCTTTGGGAAGGTCTACGGTGACTTGGTGGCCTGTTTGGGTGGGGACTGTGGCCAGAACAGTTCTGAGAGACTTTGCAACCAAAGAATGGATATATCCTTGATTTAGAAGAAGCATAGAAGTGGGAATAAAGATGGGAGCAGCCTGGAAAGACAGGAAGTGGGTCCTTACAGATGTAGTTACCTCATTACTACTGATTTGGTGAGGATGTTATGAGAGGTAATAAAGTATGTGGGTGACCAGTAAATGTTGATTACAATTGCGGCAGCCTCTGGATTGAACTTTGCCAGCACTTGGCCCAGATGGCACCAGGCTTGTCATGGCACCCGTCCTCCCTAGAAGCAGAAACACCTTGTGCACACCTGAGGAACTGGGGTTGTCATCGCCACATTATCATTATTAACTATCACCATCAAAATTCATGCTGCCTACCCTTGAGGGGTACGTTTCTCTATGGTTCTTTACTAGGTACAATATTGTTACTAAACCTAAAGTAACAGTGATTTAAGCAAAAAGGAAATTTAGTTCTGCCAACACAACAGTCTGAATATAAGCAAAAACTGCTGAGGTAGCTCCTGGGATCAAGGGTCCCAGCTTCCTTTGGTTGATCTGTCATTGCTACTTGTCATCCCATCTGCATGGGTCAGTAGGATACCACCCCTGTCTTCAGGCTAAGCAGCAGGAGAGGCATACTCCCATGCCTCCACAAGGGACACACCCCAGAAGATAGGTGCTTTACCTTCACAACCTAGGGGCCAGAATTTAGCCACCCAGTACAGGGAACTTAGGAAATAGAGGTTTTATTGGTGCATTTGTGAGTCCATATTCACATTTGGAGTCCTACTGCTATAGAAAGGGAGACAGCTATAAAGGGACGGTCAGCAGCCCCTGCTGCCAATCCTGAGCTCACACCCTGGCCTTCAGCTCAAAGTCACCTAACAGAAGGAGCTGGCACTCCCTGGGGAGTCCAGTGAGCACTGATGAGCTGAGAGACTTCCACCTCCTTGTGCATTTCTCCTTATGGGTATCAGAAGACAGACTGTCACTCTAGCATAACTGTTAAGTGGCTGTAGTGTGTCTCTTAAGGGACAGAAATGGGTGCATAAGCCACTCATCAAATCCACAGGCGTTCCACAGCAGCTGCGCCATGCAGGAAAGGTGTACAAAGCTGGGAAAGAAAGTGATGCCAAGATTTTAGCTCTGCTTCTCCCAGCTCTTACTCATTGACATAGTCACACTAGGCCTTTGACTTCTGTGGTCTGGCCTTTCATCTCCAGAGCAAGGAACTGGATATCTAAGGTGTTTGTCCAATACCCACATTGGTGGTCCTTGACACACATCTTTGCAGTGAGGCAGCTCCTTCAACTCCTCTGTGCAGAGAGTTGGATGTGTGCATTGCTTGCAGTAAGCTTGGGGCTGCAGTCACGGGGTTTTCTATTTCCTTGAACTTTGCTTGGGCATGGTTTTTTATATTCAAAAGTCACCACACAGTTTTCATACAATCAAGCATTCCTTTTTAACTTTATTTTTATTTCAAAGTGCTTTTCCCCCCTACTTCTCAAACTATTATATACTCTGTTAAAAATAGAGAAAGTACAATGAAGGGAGACTAAAAAAGAAATTATCCATAATGTCACTACCCAGACATTGGCATAATTAAGGCTTCATTTAGCATAGTACCTTTACTTCAGTGAAAAATATGAAAAATGTGTATATCTACTTCATTTAACTAGGGTCATGGTAAACACAATGTCTTATAACCTGCTTTATTCCACTCAGTGACCATCTTCCTAAATCTTTAAATATTTTTCATGAATGTGATTGTTCATGGCTGCCAAGGGTTCCAATCACATGAACGTGCCCTGTGGCACTCGGGACATTCGGGCTAGCCTGAGTCTCCGTTGTTAACTACATCCCTGTGATGTCGCCATCTCACTCTGTCAGCACTTAGCACCTAGCACAGACACTTGGTACAGTGAGGCCCAAAGGGCTGGATGGCCTGCCCAAGCCACACATGAATGATTGCAGGACCTGAGCCATCTGGCCGCCAGGCTGACCTAAGCTCCCCTAGATGCTTTGGTGCCAGGACAAATGGGCACAGGTGTGGCATCGGGTGCTGGGGACAGTTGGCTCCCAATGGGTTGGTTTTGGTAGAAAAGAGCCAGTGGGTCTTTCCTGGGAAATGCTGTCCTGGGTGGTCCCTGATGCCCCTGGGGAAAGCCAGCAGTCTGCACCCCACACAGCAGCAAGTGGCCTTCTCTGCCTTCTACCTAAGCAGGGGTGAATCAGTTCCAGAAGTCCCAGTTACAGGGGGCAAAGGAGAGGCTAGGGAAACCTTGAGAGGAGACTTCAAGGGAGTGAGGCCGGAGGGCCTAAGCAAGAGAAACCACCCCGTACCTTCTTGACCTACTTCTTTGAACCCCGACTTCTGTGAGCAGGAGATGTGATTTCTTGCCATGAGCCTTCCTGGGGGAGGGGTCTCCTTACCCAACTCTCCACTCATTTCCAACGCACTTTTATATCAGTCTCTACAAAACCTGTCTTTATCCTTATTTAGTTCAAGCTTATTTCCTCTGAGAGGCATGAGAGGGCTTACTCATTGTTGGGTCACAGGAATAGCCCAACAACACGGGAACCTACTCTTTGGCAGGGGTACCCCTCTTTTGCTGGCTCTGTCAGTGCCTGGATCACTGAGCTTTTGTCACTTTGCCTGAGACCTCTGAGTTTTGACCTCCCTGTGCTTTTTTTCTAACAGGCTACTATTGGAATTGACTTCTTGTCGAAAACTATGTACTTGGAGGATCGTACGGTGAGTGCCCAACTTTAGACTTGGGGGGCCCAGGAAGGCTCCTTTGGACTATCACCTGGCCCCTGAGCACCACTGGGAACCCATGCCTACCATGTTGGTGGTGCCAGAATCTCAGAGCCGGGACTGCCCTCTGGCCCCACCCTCTGGGTCTGGGGTCATCTCCTTGCTCCCTGGTAACGTTCTGCCCACCTGCCACCTTGCCCTCCTGTAACAGGTGCGACTGCAGCTCTGGGACACTGCCGGCCAGGAGCGGTTCCGCAGTCTGATCCCCAGCTACATCCGCGACTCCACTGTGGCTGTGGTGGTGTACGACATCACAAGTGAGTGTACACCCCAGCGCTATCTGGGCTCCAGGGCTTAGGTGCGACCTAGCCAGGCTGCAGCAGCTTGTGTGTGTATGTGTGTGTGTGTGCATGTGTGCACGTGGCTGCTTGCTTGTCCTCTGAGTGCAGGGGATGATTTGCATGTTGACCACTGTCCTCACTCTCCTGCAGCAGATATATAGCACAGGGTTGGCTTTGCTCAGAGCAGAGGCCTGTGTGGAAGAGAGCAGGTGCTTATGAGGCTGGCCCCTTCCCAGTCCCTCCGAACTCACCTTGACTCCAGGAAGTTCCCTGTGGAGCAACTTCTCTGTGCATGTGGGAGAATAGCCTGCCCCAGCCCAACTGCATCCCAGCAGCAGTGGTTTTGCCAGCTAGTGACCCTCCCAAGGCTCCCTGGGAGAAGAGGCCTCGCAGGTCTGACAGAGCTTTGGATAGGCTACACTTTCCGTACACTGTGGCTTTCCAGCCAGGGTAAGTCTTCTGGACAGCCTGTGGGGCAGGGGCTAAGGTGGAGCCCTAGCTGTTCCAGCAGGTGTAAGAACACATGTGGGGGGTTCCTGGGCTGCAGTCACCCTGTGGACGGTGGACACCCTGCTCCATGGTCTGCCTCTGGCTCTGCTTGCCCACCTTGGCCTTTGCCACCCCTCCCCGCTAACTGTCCTGTGTCCCAGTCCTGACTTCAGGCTTGCTGATACCTGAGTGGAGGTGGGAGCTGAACCTGTGAGGGCCTGGGCTCCTGCAGCCTGATGCTGAACAGAAGGGAAACTGAGTCTCTGCAGAACAGGCTGGCTTCCCTCCCCCAAGTATGTGGGCTGCTGAGTGGTGGGCATGGCCTGTCTGCTACCCCGAGAATTCCACCACCTCTTTGGACTGAGGGGCTGAAATGGCCTTCTAGCTCCTGGCTCTTGTCGATCCCTGGGGCCACTTTCCCCTTTTATGTGCAATGCCTGAGGGTTCTCTTCAGAAACATCTTCAGAGAGGCTCAGGCCTCCTGGTCAAAGGTAGCTCTGTGGCCTCCTCCCCCAGGCGCTGCTGGGGCCCCTCCCTGGCACTGGTTGCAAGCTCGGTCAAGTCTGATGTGCCCATTTTTTAACGCTCTACTCTGAGCCTCCAAAGTCAGGTCTGCCTCTCTTGTCTAAAATGATACATAAATTTAACATATCTTCCATAAAGATACTGGCAATATTTTTCAAATAAATGAAAAAAATTGAGATTTATATAAACCATAAAAGACTAATTGCAAAATCAACTTTGGAAAAAAGGAGAAAAATGTAGGTATCATATTACCTGATTTTAAACTTTACTGTGAAGCAACAGTACTAAAAACAGTATGGAATTAACACAAAAGTAAATACATGGATCATTAGAGCAGAGTCAAAAGCCTAGAAATGAACCCATATATGTATCATGACTTAATTTATGACAAAGCAGCTGACCATATATGGGGAAAGGACAGTTTCTTTAATAAATGGTGAAGGAAAATGGAAAGCCACACTGAGAGAGTGAGGTTGGATCACTCCCTAGCCCCATTCTCAAAAATAAACTCCGAGTGAATAAAAGATCTATATGTAGGATCTGCAATAACAAAATACATAGAAGAAAATGTTGATTTGATAGCATCAACAATAAAGATGGTGACTACAGCAAGAGATCTAAAATAGCAATTACAAATAAAAACAACAATCAACAATTGGGTCTATCTCAGGTTTAAAAGCTTTTATATGTTGTAAAATATGTAAGACGGGCCCTCCCCGGTGCAATGGGTTAGTACACAGCCACAGCACTGCTAGCTAGCTGTGCAAGTTTGATCCTCAGCCCCCGAGGTGACCCACGTGGCGCAGCAGACCTCTCCTGTCCTGCCTGCTGCTCTCCTCAGCAGTGTGTTTCAGTCAATCCACTGTTCTGCTCCCCACTCTGTCTCTCGTGCATCCTCTCACTACCCCTGCACAACTAGCCTGTGTGCATACATAAATAAATACTTTTAAAAAATGGAAATGGAATCAGGAAGCAAATAATTAATAAAAACCCTATATATTTGCCCATTACGGGTTTTTCTTTTGATGAAATAAAAGTCAGGTCTGGCTCTCAGTGGGTCCTGAGGCTGCTGCAAGTCCACCTTCCAAATCATGACTGCTGGGATTTGCAGACAGGTGCCTTTTCCACCCAGACACTGGCTTAGCAATGTGAGCATCCCTCCAGGACCCTGAGCTGCAGCTCCACACACACGTGGGCCTACCTCTCCTGGTACCTCTCCTTCTCTCCTGCTCTTTCCCAGCTATCACCGCCCCTGAGACTGGCTCTCAGTCCCTGTTTTACCCCGCCTTCCCTCTGCAGATCTCAACTCCTTCCAACAGACCTCCAAGTGGATCGATGATGTTAGGACAGAGAGGGGCAGTGACGTAATCATCATGCTGGTGGGCAACAAGACGGACCTCGCTGATAAGAGGTAGTTCCGAGGGCGGAGGTGCGGGGGGCTGCAGGCGGGGCCCCCCTCCATCCTCTGCAGCTCCTCTGCACATGGGGGGGGTGTGGTCATGAGTCCATGCTTCCACCCTGCTACAGGACCGCTCCAGGCAGGGCCTACAGGCGCCTGCCGTGGGGTTGGTGCCTGTGAAATGCCAGGCGTGGGTGTGGGTCTGTGGGTTCTGGTCCCCAGGTGTGACCGGAGGCTGTTCCTCTGTGCACAGGGCTGGCTGAGGTGCCCCTTACACACTTCTGCCCACTCGTCTCAGGGGACCCTGGCTTGTCAGATAAAGCAACAGGTTCATAGCCAGTGGACTTCTGGAATATACTCTCACCATTTAAAGAATAATCTGAAATAAAAGCTCCTTTATTGGAATCCTGTCCTTGAAGTGAGGAACACAGGGTCCAAATCCTAGCTCCTTTGTTCGTATCTGTGTCCCTTGGGGCAAACTCTTATTACCTCAGTGTCCTCTTTTGGAAAATGGGACTGATGCCACCTCCAGAGATGTGGCATATGGCTCGAAAGTGCTTCACAGCTCGGGCTTTAGCCAGGGTGACTACTGGTAAAGGCAGCTGTCGGGCAGCCCACTGCCTGCTGCCAAACAGGAGTAGGGTAAGGACTTGTCCTCTGCGGCCTCTTGGTCCTCCAGAGAGTCTGGGGGTCAGCACCCCATCCTCAGGGCTGACTAGGGTCACTGGCCCCCCACTGGCCAGCCCTCATCTCAGTCCTCTGCCTCCCTCAGGGGCTGCGTCTCTGCTCAAGCTGACTTTCCCCTTTGCCCTCACCTTCAGGCAGATAACCATTGAGGAGGGAGAGCAGCGCGCCAAGGAACTGAGCGTCATGTTCATCGAGACCAGTGCAAAGACCGGCTACAACGTGAAGCAGGTAAACACCCCTTTGCCGAGCCTGGGTGCAGCTCAGCCACAAGTCCAGCGTGGCCAGCTACAAGTGCAGCGTGGCCAGCCACGGGGTGCCCTCCCTGACCCTGAGAGGCTGGTGACTGGGTTGGGGTAACCAATCATAGCACCCATACATTCTCCTCATGGGGAGCAAGTGAACCCCAGAGTTGATCATGTTCAAGGGGAGGAGCAGACTCTGCTAAGAGGGCAGTGGTCATCATCAGCCATCACATGGCAGCCTGGCATGTGTCCTTGTAGCATAATGTGAGTGTCCGGCCACCAGCTTCCAGGTGGCGGAGAGAAGCTGTGTTTCCCTGGTACCTCACCTCACTTGGGAAAGGGTCAGGAAAGTCAGTCCAGTCAGCAGCTTTGGGGTTCATGCATTGAGCTTGCAGTGCTCCGGGCTGTGGAGGGCCAGTGGCACTCGGGAAGAGAGAGCACCCTGGTACAGCCAGACGGCCCAGAGTGCAGAGACCTCGCACGTTAAGGTGGAGGAGTCATGACTGGGAGATGGGGTTGGGATGAGCCCCAGAGCATGGAGGAGAGGAGGGTCTCCATGAGCCCCCAGGCTTTGGTTAGCCCCCCAGGGACTTCGGTTAGAAAGAAAACTATACCTTTACCTCGACTAGCTGGGTGCCAGCTTTGCCTTCAGTGCAGACGGCCCAGCAATAGCAACATGGGCGCGGCAGAAGCACAGCTGTTTCACTGCCAGTCTTGAGGGTACCTTGCAGCGTCCACCCCTCTCGGCGTCAGTGACAAGGTGGCCCTTAGACCCCTGCTGGCGCTTGCTGTTTAGCATGCTCATAAGGAAGCACAGGTGCAGCTCTAGGCATACATTTGTATCTTTTTTTTTTTTTTAAAGATTTATTTCTGCAAAAAAAAAAAAAGATTTATTTATGCATATGGAACTGGGGTACAGGCCAGAGGTTCAGGGGCTGTCAGAGGATTCACCAGAGACAGAGTGGGGAGCAGAACAGGCAGATCGACGAAGTACACTGCTGAGGGGAGCAGCGGGAGGGTCAGGAGAGGTCTGCCGCGCCATGTGGTCACCTCTGGGGGTCGGGATCAAACTCATGCTGAAGTGGCTTTAGCTTCTTAGTGCTATGCTTTAACCCACTGCGCCACCAGGGAGGGCATAAATTTGTATCTTTAAAGACCTTAGAAGTTTATTTCATGACTGAATAATTTTTGTTGTACTCCAGCGTCAGTGACCCATACACTTTAAAGGAGTCCATAGGTTCTTCCAGACCGCCATAGAAGTCTGTGGTTAAACAGAGCTTGGGATCCCTGTCTTCAGTGAGGAGAGTGCCTGAGCAGCCACAAGGCAGGAGGGTGCGCCAGGCAGGGCCACAGCTTGAGCACAGGTGTGGTGGAGGCACAGTGGGGAGGAGATGCCTAGTGAGGAGCAGCTTTTGCCTTTTGCCCCTTGCAGTGCCCAGGAACACTAGACAAGATGCCTGAGCAGCCACTGGGCTAGGCAGTGATGGTTCAGCCCCCAAGGGCAGTGCTGGTGTCAGGGGAGCAGGAAGAGGTAGAATGGGAGGCCCCAAAGGTCCCAGGACTCGGTGCCCCCACTCTCCATGCTGAGTGCCCTCAGCCTTTTCCCTCTTGCAGCCCTTTCCCGCCTCTGTTGTGCTTTGCGTGGGGCTGCCACGGCTTTCTGGGGGGCTGGGCTGCTGACCTTGCATTGCTGATGGAAATGGGGGGGTGGGGGAGCAGCACCAGGCTGACACAGGGGTGTGAGGCCTCCATGCCTGCAGTCAGCTTCAGGGAGATACTGATACTGCCCTCCCTAGAATGCTCTAGAAGCTAAGGGACAGTCTGAGCACGAGTCAGATGCGGTCAGTGGTCAGTTCCAGCCCTGTGTTTGCAGAGGGAACGTCCTTGCTGGGCTGTAAACATGAATGTCTACTCCGAGACAAACAGGGCCCCAACAGCTTTCTTCTAACTGGCAGTTTGGCCATCGGCAGAGGTCGTGACTTCTTACAGGCAGAGTGTGCCTGCAAGCAAGGCCAAATGGAGACTGGTGAGGCGTGATCAGGCCCTCCTTCGGCCACTCTGCCTGCCCTACTCTTGAGTCCCTCTTTGCAGCCCCCACCACGGGGTCCCACACACTGTGGGGCCCGCTCACCCTTGGTACCTGCCTGTAGCACTTTGGAAGCGCTATAGGACTGGGCTCTGCGCAATAACATGAATGGACAGGTCATTCTGCCCTTAGGGAGCTCAGAGTGGAGGAGTGAGAAGCCCTGAGCCCAGCAAGTTTGTGCAGTTGGTATTTAGAGGAGGAGGAATGTTGAGAATCTTCTGGTGCCTTGTCCTGCTGCCAGTGCTCTGGCCACCTGCTGCCTAGCTCACCTCAGCTGCCCTCCTGTGCTTCTCTGCGTGTGTCTGCATGCATGCATGTGCCCTCACACTTTTGCCAGGCGCACCATCCCAGACTTGAATACAGAGACCCCCATGTACACACCACACACGCGCTTCCCCTCACACAGATGCCACACACCCGCATCTAGACAGACGTGCACACACTACACAGTGCACACAGCACATGTAATCCTGCACCCCGACACACCCACAGCATCACACTCGTTCTCCCGCTGCCTGGCTTTCATCAGGGAAGTGTCCCCCTGCGGCTGTGAGACCCTAGTGCCCAGCACCAGTTACCTGAGGACATGCAGGCCTGAGAAGAGGGTCTGATGTCTCCAGGGTGAGTCAGAAGTCCCTTCCGCACATGGCAAGTGGGACAGAAGCCGGCCTGTGAGCTGGCCTTTTCTGCACTGGGGCAGGAACACTGTGGCCCTCGAGACTCGTGACCTGTGGCCAGCTGCCTGCATGGGAGGCGCTGGAGGGCGAAAGAGACTTCAGGTGCCCCCGCCCTCCAGGGCAGTCAGTGAGATGGATGGAGGGTGAAGTGCAAGGTCAGCCTGAGAGGAGGCGAGAGGGACTAAGGCCCAGGGCAGCAGGAGGGGAGAACAGGGCTCATGTTGTCTCCCCCTCTCCCCAGCTCTTCCGACGTGTGGCCTCAGCTCTGCCTGGAATGGAGAATGTCCAGGAGAAAAGCAAAGAAGGGAGTATCCTTTTTCTGTGCCATTTGAGTGAAAGATACTGGAGAAGCCACTTACCCATCAGCTTATTCACATAGTATTTCAGAACAGCAGCCACCCTTTGCCTGGTTTTGGGCCCCACCCTCCCAGCTGGTGTGTGCATTGTGAGGCTCCTCTGCACTGGGGTGAGGCTGACGTCATGCTCTATAAGCCTCTTCCAGCTCTCACCATCTAAGCTTCTCTCACCAAAGCAGCGTGAGGACCCAGGGGGTGTATAGGGAGTGCCGTGTGGGGTGGAGTGAGACAGGAACCCTGCCCTCCTTTACGGCAGCTTTGGCTGTGGGACAAAGGGGAGGCCTCAGGTCCCAGCGTGGTCAGCCTGTTCACCAGGGCTCCTCCTGTGTCCCGAACAGCCCCCAATCTCCCAGCAGCTCTGCCCACCCAAACCTCAGACGAAACAAGCTGGCATGGACTCAGAGAGGAAAGCTGACTGACCCAACAGGAAGGAAACTAGTTGCTTGTTACTAGCTTGCTCGTATATTTATATTTTGTGCGGTAAAAAGCGTATTTGTATACACACAGATGCGTGTGTATCCAGGTGTCTAAAAATGCACATGTGTACAAACACAAATCTCGTAGAGGGCGGGGATGAGGAGGAAGGAAAATTCGGCAGTGAAGTCTCACCCCAATATTGTCATGGCGAAGTGACCAAAATGTTGGCAAGAAGGGAAAGTGTGATTTTCAAGAGGAGCCTGGCTTTTCTTAGTACTCACTCAGTCTTCAGATAGGGGCCCCCAAACCATCCATGACACCAGCACTGGGTCCCCTCGTGGGGCTCTTTTACCAACCCCCCAACCCCGCCAGGGCCCTGAAGCCCTGCCCAGAACAGTTCTCAGACCGTGTCCTGTGGTTGGGCCTGACTTGTCATCATCTTTAGCTTGGCAGTGAAGTTTGAACCCACTGGCGCTGATGGATGTTTCTCCATCAGAACACTTTGCACACACCTCCTCCTTCCTGTCCTCTTGGAACTGTTCACACCTCTGCCCTCCTCCCATCCCCTGCCCAGGATGTTAAATTAGTTAAGGGGTCCATCCCCAGGGGTGTGGCTTCTCACATTCTCACAGCAGCTTCCTCAGGGAATAAGGGACACAGTCTCCTCAAGGTTTAATATTGTTGCTGCCCACTAGGCCCCGGCCCAGGTAGTACTTTGAGATGCGGGACCCAGGCCTGTCCATGGGCTCTCCACCTTCGAGGGCACTCTGGGGTGGGCTGACAGGTGCCAAAGCCACGCTGGGAGCCAGCACTGCCCACCAGGGACACCTCTGAGAAAGGGACTGTCCCACCTGTTTAGATGGTCACTCCACACCCTGGGACAAGCGTTGCTTCAGGGACAGCCATGGGGCATGTGGGAGGGTCAGGGCAAGAGAAAGGGGTCAGGGGCTCCGGGAGGGGTCTGCCTCCTCCCTCCTCTAGCCAGACAAAACCCCAAGTCCTGGGCATTTGTGGAGATGCAGAGCACAGCTCTGGGGTGGGCAATGCGCAGGGCAGGGCAGGGCAGCTGGGGGGCAGGTTGGGAGCCCCTAGCTGTTTCTTCCAGCTGTCTTCCTTAGCCCTGCCCCCACAGTGATCGACATCAAGCTGGACAAGCCCCAGGAGCCCCCGGCCAGCGAGGGCGGCTGCTCCTGCTAATGCAGCCTCACCTGGCCCCCTCTGACACCACTCGCTTGTTGTGTTGCTTCCTATTGGTTAGCTTCCTAAGGGGGGTGGGAACGAGCTCATCAAGATGGGAGGATTTTTCTTTTCTCTCTGTCTCTAGGAGTAGGGTGGGGTGGGGGGAGGCTGGGCATCAGGGATCACGTCACTTAACAGCTGTTACTTAAACGACTATTTTTTGGTTTGGTTGTAATATATTGTACTTTATTAAGATTGCCAAAAACTGTTAAAATTTAAAAAAAAAATTTAAATCATGTGTATACTACTTTTTGCCAGATAAAAATGTAGTCATTTTTATTTGAAAAATGTGCTTTTTTTGTTTTTGTATATTTGTAAACTTACAGAGAACCTTTCCACACACCTCCTCCTTCCTGTCCTCTTGGAACTGTTCACACCTCTGCCCTCCTCCCATTCCCTGCCCAGGAAGTTAAATTAGTTAACCGGGCAACTTAATTAGGCTCCAATTCTGGGTCTATATAGGCCCTACCTGGTTAAATGAAACACGAATTGAACAAAACAGCCTTGGAAGAGATAGCTTTCATTCTGTCCTTCCTTGGCCAGCAGCCCCTGCTCAGGGTGGGAACTGAGCCCCGGGGGCTGCAGGAAGCCCACAGCTGGGCCCGTGGAGCAACCTCCTCCCCTTTCTCCTCCCTGAAAATCCTTGAAGGGGGTGGAGGACACTTGTGTTCCCGCAGCCTGCCTGAATGTCAGAGCAAGAGGGCATCGGAAGGATGGGGTGCTGTTGGCAGCAGTGGGCTGTGTAGATATGTGGGTGACAGACTTGGGGCACCAAGTGGAGTTCTGAGAATGTTTTCTCCAACCTGCCCAGCATTCAGCACACATATCTGCTGCATTTAAAGAAAGGGCAAAGAGAAATGCAGTTTGTGCTCCCTGGAGTTCTCCCGGGACATAGGGCGAGTCGGTCTGTGGCTGGCTGGGGAGGCTTTTCTGTGGCGCCTCTGCCCTTAGGATGCACCGTGTTCTCAGACCCTCAGTTGCAAACACCCGAGTGCTGCTCTGGAAAAGCCAGCTCTTGCTTTGCTGGTGCCCACCGGTGCGGGCAGCTGTAGTCCTCGAGCACGCACCTTTGTGGGTGCTGTAGCAGCTCTGTGGTCACCTGAGGGGAGGGCTGAGGTGGGGGCTCCAGAAGGCTGTGCAGAGAAGGCTGTCTGTGTCATTTTTGACTCATTTCTGAGAAGGGCTCAGTCTTGGGGACCTGTAAAATCTCTGAAGCAAATTCTCTTTTCTCACTAAGTGACGCCACCCTCCGCTGGGGTAACGTTCTGAACACATCGGATGCCCCCCAACTCGGTCTGCACAAAGCAGGCATGCGGCCACGCTGGCCCAAAACAGTTACCATGGTGTTCACCGTGGCCTGGGCTCTTCCCCCAGGCTGCTGATGGCCATGTTGTGTGGACTCGATGACCACCTTGAGGGGCAGGTGGGGTGGGGGGTTCCTCCACAAAGCAGGGTTCCAACAAGTCGTTGCAGTGAATTTTGGAGCTTCTCAGAAACTAGTTTAAAATGGCAGCAAAACCTGGCAGGACTCACTACTGTTTGTCCACTGGACCTGTCACATGCTTTCAGCTAAAGAGGCAGTGTGACAGTGTATCAGAGGAGTTTCTCTTCAGGTGAAGCAAAGAGGAAGCAGGATTCCTAGCAGGCTTTTCCAGAAGGCAAAGACCAATGTACGGATGTAATTCCAGTGTCATGTGTTTAGTTTTTATATGTGTGTACATACTTATATATAGAGATAGACTTGTGTATACACTTTCCACAGACACATTCACACAAAGATTAATGTGCTCGATGTATATTCTTGCTTTTCCTGCTCTCAAGTTGGAACTTGCATTGTGATAACAGTTTTGGGAAATTCAAAAGTACTGCAACGTGTTGAAATAAGAATTACTTAATATTGTCAAATTTGTGATTGTCTTGCCATCAATAAAATAATGCATAGATGTGTTCAACTGCAGGCAAAAATAGCCCATGGAAACAGGTGCACGGTGTCCTGCGTGCTCCTGTGCACCTGTGTACATGCCCAGGTGGGCTAGTGGCCACCCATGCGGCGCCCCATCCCCACCCCCCCAGTGGTGCTTGTTGGAAGTGCTTACTTTGCAAGAATTTACAGGAGTCCACATCGCAAGATCTGGCCTGGCTGGCAGTGGGGGCCAGCTTGTGGCCTCTGGGATGGTCCCATTTGCAGGGGTCTGCAGTGAACGAATGTATGCTGGACTTTTATTTTCTTGGTAAAAAGAGTAATTTTTCTTATAATGGTCCTGTAAAAAAAAAAGTAGAAAGTTCCTTTTTTATGTGTACACATATCTAAGGCACCATGAATTTTGTTTCCCCTCACTGCCTAGAGGAGCAGTAAGAGACAGAGTCACTTGGCTTGACAAGGCATCAGTGAGTCCTGCCTCTTCCTGCACCCACTCAGTGTCCTCTCTCTGAGTTCAGCCTCTTTACAGCCTGTGGGCCTCAAAGGCGAGGGCAGTTGCCTCCTTTGTGCTCCCATCTTAGTGTGCCATGCCTTGCCCCGCCTCTCCTCAAATCTGATCACCACCCCTCACTTCCTGGGGTCTCTTAGGGCAGCCAGACTCGACACAGTGCACTGGTTCCCTGCCTGTCATCTTCAGCAGGTGCCATCACTGTCCTCTGCTCACAGGTACATTCAGGGCTCTATGACGACATGATCTCATTCCCTTGGCAACCTCAGTGAGAGCATTACACCCCAAGTCCAAGGGGGCAGCACAAGCAAATGGAGGAATCCTGTTAGGAAATGACCTCATTGTAGTTGGAACTTCATTCCCTCTCCCCACGACTAGCCCAGACCTGGGAGATAAGTAGGGTGACTTCATCTTTTGGCTTTCTTTGGAGAGGGGAAGATCTTAGAGAAAAGTTGCAGTAAAGCTCTTTCGCAGGCGTCAGAAAAACTGAGTGTCAGATGGAAAGAACTGTACATGCCCGAATGTCAACGACGGCGTGATGTGGGGAGTGCAGGGACTGAAGGTGTGCAGTCCGACGTTAGCATGCTTGGTGCTTTGAAGCAAGTTGCCTTTTTGGAAACCTCCTTGTTGTCGTTCTCATCACTCTCCCTGTGAGCATCTTGATCATTTTGCAATATGCCCAGGCCTGAGGTGCAATGGCCAGGCCAATTAAGTGTCTCAGGCAACAGAATGGAGGTTGGAAGTGATGGTAGCTAAGGGTGCAGACCTCCTCGCCTTCCTGGTGATCAGCCAGTGCTGGGAGCAGCTGCCCTCAAGGACCAGGTGGGATGATGGCACCGCTGGCTTCGGTGTCCTGCAGACAAAGCAGCCTCATTCCTCCATGAGGTGGAAGGCAGGTGAGGACAGCAGTTGAGAAGGAGTTGAGGCAGGTGAGGCAGTCTGAGCCACGTGAGGGGCAGCTAACCAGGATGTGCGCCAACCCAGCAGGGTTGCATGCCCATGAGTTTCCAAACTACCTCTGCCCTTCGAAAGTGAAGCATCGTCCGCTGGCCACACAGCAAGGTGGAGCGCGTGTAACCACTGCAGAACTGAGGCACAAGGCGACTTGCTTATGCTCACCCGGGAAGCTGGATGCAGTCAGCGTTCTTCGTCCGCGGCCTGTGTGTCCAGTGTGACCGTGCGCTTGAACGCAAGAGGCTGCTGTGCACGGGGACCCCTCAAACCTGTTTACCCTGGTTAGGATGTAAGTTCTCGCCAGTGCTTCTGCATGAGCCAAGGAGACCCAGTGTAATGTAAAGGTTCCTCTACTGCACAGATGAGCCTTCCCAGTTCACTCTGCTGGTCTTGGGCCCCACACAGGCACCCTTAATTTGTAGGAAGCAATTATGTAGGTATTCTGAAACCTTGGGCTCTTGATGTGTAAACTCCTTGGGCTTCAGAGCAAGTCTGGCCAACAATCCCAGCAGGGCACGGCTTAGGAAGAAAGTGGGATGTGGATGTTACTTTCAGTGGAAAGCCTCCATACACTGAAGGCCAGTCTGTACCACATGGTGTGTGTTAACTCGCCCCTCAATTTCCCTCCCCCACCCCTCAAAAGTGACTGAGGAACACAGAGAGTGGCATTTCCATCTCTTACTGGCTCAACAGGCATAAATGGCCATACTGACTTTACATAAAACTGTGTAAAATGTGGAAGACTCAGCATGTTGATCAAACAATAAATTGTCCTAATTCTCAACACAAGCCTCTTGTCTAATGTCTCTGAGTTGCGGTCATATATGGGGGTGAGACACCAGTCTTCTTCAATGCGTGCTCCATGAAGAGCCTTTCACTTTGGGTTGTGTGTCCACCCAAAGCCCTTCGCTTCTACTTCTTACCTGGGCTCTCCTATTCTGGAGCGGTAGGACACACTAAAGACATTAAATCTGCAGTCATCACCCAGCCTCCATTCAGCCAAAAAGCTGATGGAAAGGGAAACATAGCATAACTGACTCAGGTGTGCAATAGCTTCATCATCTCTGATCTCTACTCGACATGGCCGTTGGCCATGAAGGGGAGATGCAGGGACTGATCTTTCTGGTGAATTCCAGAAAGCCATTTAAAGGCAGGAAATTTAAGTGAACCCTAGTCACCTTTCTGGCGACACCAAGCTGCTGCTAGCACTCCCAGCTTCACCCCACAAAAACTGCTCCCAGGGAAGAATTGTGAGGCCAAAGGGGAGTCAAAGGCCAAGAAAGAGCAGCTCCAGAATTGCCTTGTCCTGAAAATACTGGCAACGCTGGGGCTGTGAAATAGGCCAAGTTCACCAGGGTCCCATTCTTCAATTCTGACTTCGCTGATTATCTTCCTTCTTTAATGGTTCTGGAAGACTTTCCAGTCACCATCTCAAGGTGATTAGAAGGGACAGAACAGGTCACTCTTCTGTAATGCTGGTTACAAAAATGTTTATATTTTGTAAACTGTAACCTGTGAGGTAGAGATGTCAAGGAGCAGAGGCCAGAGAGCTGAAGTGTGGATGCTTATATGGAGCAGGCTAAAGCTGTCCCGGGGCCACTGGTGATGCTCCCAGAGCGCCCTGATGTGAGAGAGCAAAGGGGGAATGGTCCCAATGTGGGCACACACTGGCAGCTGCCCTGCACCCAGATGAGGGAAGCACTGTCAGGATTCCCCAGACGTGACGCAGGGAGTGTCCTGTGGAAGTCCCCGTCACGGCCTTAGGAGCTCCTGCGTGAGGTGGCCTTCCTCATTGATGCTTTGCGACCCAGTGACAAGAGTGGAGGAAAGAGCTTGAATATTTCTATCCCACACTCAAATTAGAGGGAAGTACATTTCAGCTGCAACAAAACCATCTTAAGTCAACAGAACACCATTTGCTTTACACAGAGCAGGTCCCCAGGAGGACACCAGAATCCCAGGAGGTGCCGAGACCCCAGAGAAGCGCAGCCCTGCTGGACAAGAACACTGGGGGTGAGCTAGCTGAACAGGGGGCCCAGAGTGTTTGGGGTGCAGGGCAACCATGACAGTGTTCATGTTGATGAGTTAGGCTGAGGAAGGCAGCCACATTAAATGAGCTCGTCTTCACCTCAGCATGTGGCCATAAACTTCTAAGAGCAGGAGGGCCTGGCAGAGTGCTCGGTGTTTCTGAATGAACAGGCAAGGCACTTGTGAGCCAGGAGCAATTCAGGGTTTCAGAATTGAAATGGGAAATGGGATCACTCCTCTGTGCACAAGCCAAGTGTGTTAACCACTTTAAATACGTGAAGGGCTGAAATGGAGAAGGTAAGCATCTTAATTGCTGCTAATATCCTTCAGGTGAGACAGTGGGTGCAACCCAATTGAAACTTTGATAACTATGTGCTAAACTCAAACCTCAAGGAAAAAAAAGTGTTAAGTCTGGCGTCTGGCTGGCTGAAACCACCTCAGGTCAACAGAACATGGCGAAGAACCTCTTTAAAAAACAGGACTACCAGAATCCCAGGAAGCCCCGAGTAGAAGCTGTTGTGGGGCAAAGAAATGAGTGGTAGGCCCCAACACACCCCACTGGCAGCAGCTGTGTTAGCAAGACTAGACTCCAGGAAACTCAGGTGTGCCTGGCAGGAAGGGGCTACCGAGGCCTTGAAGGAGCCTTGAAATAAGAGTGAGCAACAGTGGGGCTGATGCCCAGACCACCCGCAGGTGTGGGCCACACCCAGTCAGAAGGGGGCAGCATGTACCCACTGAGTGCCCAGGGCTTACTAGTCCCAGCTAACCCCCACCAGGCATCCCATGATGATCTCTCTCTTACCGACAGGGTCACATACATCAGGTAGCAGCCAGTTCTGACGGGGCTCCCAGAAGCCCCCTATGCCAGGTTAAGGGCATGTGAAGCAGATTCCCGAGGCCACAGTATTTAGAAGCTGGGTCCTCAGACCGGCTCTTTAACTAGCATTGCAGGTCATCTGTGCACACCAACCGCGAGACACTTGAGAACTCCTTTTACAAAAGATCATCCTTGGGCCTTAAAATTGAGCCTTGCCTCCTCCCTCAGCCACCTTTTTGGTATACTCTTTCCTCTCAAGTACATGTCTTGTCAACCAGGAAAACAGCATTAAAGACTGGGAACACACGCCTCTATCACTGTCAAGTGACTTCATGCCTGTGAGCACCTACGATTATCACATTAGCAAACTTGGTGACTTCTGGTCCCACTTAAGTTACTAGTTAGCTAGTAAGCAAGGGGCAAGAGACAGAGACTGGCAGCAGTGGGTCTGACGGGAGAATGCTGCCAGGGCCAAGGTCTAATGTGCTCCAGCTTGCAGTCATGTCTCATGCCAGCACCGAGGTTGCTATGGGTCATGTGCACTGGAATGTTCTCATCCCTATGCTTTCATTTTTCTTTAATTTTTTGCAGATTTTATAATTTTCAGATGCCTACCACCATCTGCCTCGGGCCCTATCCTCTCCACTATTTCCCCATCCTCTCTGCTAATTATCACCTTTTTTGCCAAGTTCAAATTTTTATTTCTTCTATTGTTCAGCTGTTTTAGGGTATTTATACGCCACAGATGAGTGAAACCTTTTTTTTTTTTTTTTTGCCTGATTTCACTCAATATAATCTCAAGCTCCATATATTTTGTGCCAAATGCCACCACTTCATCTTTCTTCCCAGTGTGTAATATGCTGCATGCGGCCTCGCCATCCATTCATCTGATGAAGGGCAGAGAGGCTGGCTCCATGAATTGGCATCTGTGGCTTCATCCTCCCCTAGTCCCTCAAGGCCAGGTTAGGTGCCTCTAGTAGCTGCTTCCAAAGCACCCTGCACCCCTACTGTGAAGGCACCACCCACTGTTCTCAGACTGGCTTCTTACACACACACCAGGACCTTGGCACTTTCTGAGCTTTGGTTGGGCTGGCATGGAGCTGTCTTTGCACGCTGCAATATTTAGGCCCTGGCAACTGGAGTTAAGACTGAGTCACATGCTCCCATTTGTATTCACTATGGTTAGACAGTTTTATTATATTAATGACTTTAAAAAGCCACACGTTTAGGAAGACAGCACTGAATCCCACTTCAAAAAGGGAGACATTTAAATAAACCATCACAGAATGCACTTTAAAAATCCAATGAGGATTTTCTTCATTTTATAATTGTTCCACGGTGTTCTAGGTAAGGATACAAAACCGAAGCTGAACAAATAGCACATAAAGATATCCTGAGTCCTAAGCCACCCAGAAACACAGAAAAACAGAATAAGTCTCCACATACTTCCCAGTTAGGGTGACCACGGAAGCACACTAGACCCTGCTGCCTGGGCATGACTCCAGGGTTCATGCTCTAGTTTTGATCTCTTAAGTACCAAGAGGCAACAGTATGGGCAAGTCTCTGAGCTGACGAAGAACTGTTAGCTGGGCTCTGCTGTTTGTGCCTTTCATGACACCAGGAGGCTGTATTCTAACTGAACCTACAAATCTGAGCACTCAGAGGTGCCCGTGAACATCAGCACCACTAGAAAGCAACTGGTTCCTCGCCCATCGGGTTTGTTTCTGGGCAAAGAGGACCAATACAGCAGAAGAGGCTAAGAACACTTTCCAGACGACAGGCATGTTCTCATGATGACATCCTTTCTACATGGGGTGTCTGTCATCACACTGACCTTGACTCTGTGTATGCTAAAGGGACACTACACTTTAACAAAAGGAAGAGACACGAGTCCAGAGTGACTCAGGCTTAAAAGGGGGAACCGAATAAAAAGAAAAATCCCAAGTTGGTTTCAAAAGTAATTTGTTTCTAGAAAAAAGAAATGCTTGTAACATTTTAACCACTTCTTCCCCAGCTCCAGGCTGCAGTACATGTGCCTTTATATATGTAAAATATCCCCAAGCTGTCAGTCACACAGATCCACATGGTGTCTCAAGCCTCTGCCCTGCCCCTCAGGCGACGCTAGCCAGCCATTTCTCCAAGTCCTGGATGTCAGCAGAGCCGGCATCCCCTCTCCCGCCCTTGGCGCTACACTCCAGGAACTCCACCTTGAGGGGCAACTGTGAAAACTCAAATTCTTTGCCTTTCTTTCCCAGTTGAGCAGGAGCAGTGCTGGAATTGTCCAGTGTGCTGGGGGCAGCAGAACGGGTAACTCGTAAAGTGTTGCTGGAAGGTAAAAGGAACATGAGTCAGAAAGCTAAGAGTTTAATTTTTACAGAGCAACAAAAGGCCATTAGGAAACAGCGGTTTCTAAATAATTCAACGATTTGTAAATACTTTATCAGGAAACTGCTGACTATACTACTGCTGATTAAATTCTCTGCTTTTACAGACCACTGTCTTGGACAGACAGGAAGGGCAGGGTCCAACCTTACATAGCCAGGTGACGGCAGGTCAGCAATGTACCCAGGTCATACACAATCTTCCTTCAGCTCAGTGCCCTCTGCTGGTAGGGGCTCCCGCATCATGCCATTTTAAAGTGTATTTTAAAAATAACACACTAGCAGTGTTACAAAAACTTAAGTTCTTGGAAGTTAAGAGTGGGTAGATAGTCTGTTCACACCTGTTTTGATCCAACTTGTAAACAGAGCTCTGAAATCTACAAGCTCCAGTCTCTCTGCAGTCTGGGCCCGCTGACTGCTCCTCAACCTGTACCCACCAAATCTCCCTGTTTAAGCCACCTTACTGCCACCTGCTGGCCCTAACAAGGAGTGCAGAAGTAGCCCACCGCCTTTCCTAGAGGAAAACATATTGGCAATCTGCTTTTTTCTTTTTTTCCACAAGATAAAAGCATTCTGTGATGCTAAGAGGTTGCAGGAAAATCAATGAAGAGTCCACATTAAAAAAGAAAAAAAACTACGCAATACTTTGTTTAGAAAGATACACATATACTACAAATGAGAAATAGTGGTAAAATAATTGAGCTTATTGTCTTCTAAAAACCCAAGATCTTCTTTCCAAGAAAATTTTAAAATATTTAAAATGTAATTTAATATAATCATCCTATTACTTTCTGTAATTCTGCTAACTCTTTTGTCAACTTTTCACAAGTATACTTCACACTAAATTTCAGGCTAATTGCAATAATAATACACATTCAAAGATGTAAGCAGTATATTCACATTTCCTAAATGTTAAGATACACAATTAGCCAATACAACTTATTCATACTTACAGCTCTTTCTCAAGTTGCTGCTGAATTAACTTTGCTGATTTTGCCATTGTAATATCTATAAAGAAATAAACACATAAGTTAGCCAGAAAATCTTTTTCCAAGATTTCTTGCATATATGGAGAATTCCTATTAAGTCAGTATGTTTCTTTTCCCTTTTTTAAAAAAAGAGCTTTTTAATCGCTACTAACTTCACTAGCAATGTAAGCTCTGTATTTGTGCATAGAGGTTTTCCTAAAATAATGCTTATAAATCTACTAGTCATCCTAAAATTGACTTTTTCCCTCTTACAAAAACTTTCTACATTTTACAGACCTTTAAAATCAACATTCAGAAGTTTAGCTAATATGGCCTATCAGCTCTGTTATTCTAACAAAAGCCTTCACTCCAAGAGATAATACCCTCCCTTCCAATTAAAAAAAAACAAGCATATCTGTAGCTGCTACCGAGACAGTATCAAGACAACATCAAGAACACAATAAGCAAGAAACAAGTGCTGGTGTGACACAGCAGAAGCTGAATGGACATTACCCCCTGTCCTTATAACGAACAGAGAAATAAAGAGGTCAGCTATCATCTTAACACTGCAGTTTTGATTCAGCATTACCTGGTCACTACTGAGCAATGCTTGAGCTCTTTCACGAATAAACCTATCCTTCAGCGAATCTGAAAGAGACCTGCAGAAACTAACTAGCCTAATTACCTTACTAGAGGCAATGAGACCGAAGGCTAGTTTTACTGGGTATGACTAAAAAGTTTTTAATGTTTATCATAATAGAAAACAACTTCCACAAGTCCCCCTTAATGGAATGTACTGGACCGTAAACTTGTCTGAAAGTTTATGCCCCGCCACAATTTTTTATCTAATGTAACATACTGCCAATCTGATGAACTTAGTAAAATGACTTATAATTTAAAAAAGAAAAACTATCAAAGAAAAAATTATGATTATTGTGTCATTCATTAAAAAAAGCTCGGTAAAAAACTAATGAAAATGCAAGAGTATCAATAAATTATAAGATTTAAAATGCCTTAATATATAAACAATTGATATATACACAGTTTAATATGTAAACAATCCTCAATAATAACAACTGTAGATAGGCCCTCCCTGGTGGCGCAAGGGGTTGGAGCGCAGCACTGTGAAACTCTCCACAGCCAGTGCAGCACCAACTAGATCCACAGCCAGGAGCTGACCCACATTGCGCAGCAGACCTCTCCTGTCTTGCCCCTTGTTCCCCTCAGCAGTGTATTTCAGTAGATCTGCCTGTCCTGTTCCCCACTCTGTCTCTGGTGAGCCCTCTCACCCCCACACCTCTGGCGTGTACACCAGTTCTTGTATGCATTAAAAAAAAAAAAAAAACTATAGGTAACTATATTAATTCAGAGTAGTAATCCTCCCCAAATCTCAATCAGTATTATCAGAAAACATGATAGTACCTTGCTTATTGCAGGCAATTAAGAATGACGGTGTGTTCTTCAAACTCATGCTGTCAATGAGGACTTGATAGAGGAACTCAGCCACATCTTTCACCTCCCGCTGGAATGCTGCACTATCCACAACAAACACCACAGCCCTGAGTGGGTGAAAAAGAAACACTGGTACTAGAGCTTGCAACATGAAAGAAAACATGTCCTTAATTTCCTCTCACTCCCAATGAACAGCATGCAACAAATTCATAATACAAAACTGACTTACAAAGGACTGTTTATTTACTACATATCAAATAATTGGCTAAAAAAGACGACAGGAGGCCCTCCCTGGTGGCACAGAGGGTTAAAGCACAGCACTAAGAAGCTAAAGCCACTGCAACATGAGTTCGATCCCCACCTGCCCCGGAGGTGACCACATGGCGTGGCAGACCTCTCCTGACCGGCCCGCTGCTCCCCTCAGCAGTGTACTTCGTCGATCTGCCTGTTCTGCTCCCCACTCTGTCTCTGGTGAATCCTCTCAACACCCTGCACCTCTGGCCTGTATCCCAGTTCTGTATGTATAAATAAATAAATCTTAAAAAAAAAAAAATAGACGACAGGAAATGATGTCTTCTCTCAAGGACCAGGAAATCATACATATAGAACCACCTGATAACAGAAACAAAGAGGAAGGTAATGTATACAAGAGACCTGTTCAAGAAGACCTAAAGGTTTTAACAGTTGAGCTAAATTTTAACCAGACAAAACACTGGGGCATAAACTGTTTAGAAAAAAAGTATGTACAGGGCACAAAGGAGTGAACCATGTTCTCACCATGGAGAACTCAAGGTAGCTGATACCCGGGGAAGTAGGAAAATCAGAGAATCAGTAGCAAAGGAGCATGGCACACTGACCAGCTTACAAAGACTAGTGGTGCTTACATGGAAGACTGATAATCAAGCCGGGTAGTCAAACCAGAAGTACACTGACCTGATGGATAGGCCCCACATAACACTGCACAGTGCGTATCCTCACGTGCCAGAAATAAAAGGGTTATCAAAGTTAAAGCAAAGCAGCCCAGCAAATCAGCAGGCAAGAGGCCAGGACCCTACTGCCCAGATAGGGAAGGAGATAATGCAACAGACAGCCTGCCAGTGGGGAGCCTGGAACTGGACATCCTGTGCGAAGTCTAGAAGTGGAAAGTCATCTAAGGGAGGGTGGGATGGAAAGACAACCAAGAGTTAGTGAGACACCAAGCCACTTGTGCCACATACAGAGACAGGGTATGACCTATAGTTTCTCGCATGTTAGGGCCCAAACAAGAAGTTTATATAAAAATTGTGCCAGACTCAAAGAAGGAGGAAATATAAACTGATGGCTTTCAAAAGAAGGAAATATGAACCTTTGAAAAGAGCTTTTCATACCCATAAACACAGTTTAAAATAGTTTAAATTACTTAAGAGAATTAACCATAATGAAAGAATAGGATCTTATATAAGTAGGCTGACTTGAAAAAAACAGACTTGCAAAGACTAAAGAAAATATAATGAAAAAATCAAGAGCATGCACAGATGAAAAGGATATAGTGAAGTATAAAACAAATATGAGAAAAATCACATAATATGTAAGGGAAAAAGAACTGGAAGGTATGCTAGAGAAGAGACAAGGAAAGGAATGGTAAGGTAATGATGTTAAGAGTTACAAGAAAGAACAGAGGATTTGGAAATAAAACTACCTGAAAAGATAATATTGAGAATTTTCCAGTATTGAAGATGTGAATCTTTCAACTGAAATTATAACATTTCAGGCTCTCCCTGTTGGCCCAACAGGTTAAAGCACTAACGGGTTCTGAAGCTCTCCAAAGCCACTGCAGCACGAGTTCGATCCCTGACCAGGGAGCTGACCCACATGGCGTGGCAGACATCTTCTGACCCGCCCGCTGCTCCCCTCAACAGTGTACTTTGTTAATTTGCCTGTTCTGCTCCCCACTCTGTCTCTGGTGAATCCTCTTAGCACCCCTGAACCTCTGGCCTATACCCCAGTTCTGTGAGCATAAGTAATTCTTTTTAAAAAAAATGATAAAACTAAGTCACCCATTAACAGTAGAAAATCTACCTGCACAGAAGGTATAAAAGATAGATTTAATGCAGTGAAATTACAATTTGACTGATCAATGAATTTTCATCTATACCGGATGCCTATAATTAGTATTACTTCATTCAACATGAAAGTGGAAATAATTACCACACTCAGTTATTCAAAATTTTACACTCAAAGTTATTCAAAAACAAAGGCCCATGAAAAATAGTTTCAATTGAGCAAAAGATGAACATTTTGATATTTTGTTTATCAATTCTGGAAAGCTTCTAAAAGATATACTTGGGGCCCTCCCTGGTGGCGCAGCGGGTTAAAGTACAGCACCAAGAAGCTAAAGCCACTTCCGCATGAGTTCATCCCCACCTGTCCAGGAGGTGACCACATGGCGCAGCAGACCTCTCCTGACCCGCCCGCTGCTCCCCTCAGCAGTGTACTTCGTTGATCTGCCTGTTCTGCCCCCCACTCTGTCTCTGGTGAATCCTCTCACCACCACTGCACCTCTGGCCTGTATCCCAGTTCTGTATGCATAAATAAATAAATCTTTTCTAAAAAAAAGGGGGAGAGAAAAATGGATTCTAAAAGGAAAGAATAAGCAGCAACAAGCAATGGAGAACAAAGAAAAAAAAACAAAAAACCCCTGATAAGTCTAGTTAATTCTGATAATTCTAGGTAATTACTGAATGGGGGGAGGGCAAATTAGTAATTGTTGGAGGTTAAAAAGTTGAAGAGAAAAATAAAATGAAAGGACAGTGTGAAAAACATCAAAGTCAAAAAATGTTTTAAAATCGAGGGAAAAAAAATTGAAATCAATGATTGTAAGCCTTTGTCAGTTATGTCAATGTAGAGGCATCAACTGTAACAGGCATATGGCTGTGCTGGGGAATGTTCATAATCATGAGACAACACAGGTATATGGAAAACCTCCACACCTTTAGCTCAATTTTGCTGTGAACCTAAACATGCCTTAAAAAATAAAATCTATTTAAAAGAAAACACACACAATAATCTCACTTTTACAGACTACACATCATCACCATCTTATGGGTAAGGAAGCAACAACAAAAGAAAGGTCAAGTCAGCCAGGAAAATAAAGAGCAAACCAGTATCTTTATCAAACCTAAGACTCTATTGATGAACTGATACATTACTACTTTGGTACAACTAAGAGACAATACTGTCAATTAAACTATGACTGGCACTACTACCTATAAACAGCATTCCAATTTCACAGACATAAAAATGTGTCTAACATCAGTAAAATGCAATATATTGGTTTTCCCATAAAGGTTTTATCAAATTTAGACACAGAACCAAACTAAAAGCTCCTAAACTGTAGCACAAGAATTTTAGGAAAGAGCAGGCAATAACACAAGGACAGTATTAAATCAAAGTATCATTCTGTACCTTTGAGGCACCATTTTTATGTGATTTAAGAACAGAAATATGCACTGTTAAATTTTAATAACTTCTAGGATTCCACCTAATTTTAAAATTACTTTTCAGTTTTTAATAGTCCCACTGATTAAATGTGTCATCAGAGCAAATGAAAAATCTACTCACAAGGTTATGAATGTTAACAGTTGCTGAATACAATGTGAAAGGCGTTTCACATATTCTCTAAGAGTCCTCACAAAGCCATAGTGAAGGTAGGCCTACAATCCAGAAACGAGGGGCCCAAGGACCATGCTCTTTCTAGGCCACTTAGCTGCCTCCCCAATACCAGCAAACATGGAGCATGCTGATAATAAAACAGATTTCATACAAGCTCACTTTACTTCCTTCCTACTTACCTGGCTGATGCCTTAAACCGCTCTAAGAATTGAAGTCTCAAGCTCTCATGGCCAGGGAGGTCAATCAAGGTCAGGTTAGTGCCCTAGGATGGCAGAGTAACATTAATGTTCCAGCTCTGATTCGCATTTCATAACATAAACCTTTAATATCAGACTTCACGTACCAGAATAGTGCTCAATAAATTAATTAACTTAAAAATGACACTTATTAATGAATCAAACAAATGTTCATACACAGTCATCTATTTATAACAGTGAGAAAAAATATGTGTAAAATACCATTCCTTACTCTAACAAGGCTTATAGTCAAAGACCAAGACAATGTTAAATTATATATAAGTGTGAAATTACAACTTTGGTAAATATTCTGAGGATACATGAGAAACCAAGTCCTGCCTGAGGGATTCAAGAAGTATGGTCCATCTGAGACTGGGGAATTATACCAATACGAGTAAAAGCAAAAGTATGTAGACAAACATTAGTAAATATTTATAAACTTAGGAATGTGAGATTCTATACTTTATCATCAGTAGGTTACTATTATATGAACACCCAATCTGTATAACAAAGCATTCTTTGACATTTCTCTTATAGTTTAATTTTTTAAATATTTGTTTACTAGTTATGTCATTTATTTGTTTCAACTCCATCGATATTTTCTGTCACTTCCTGATCCACATGATAGTCACTGAAACATGGAGGGGTGTATCCCAAGTGAGCAAACTCACTGAGCCCCATTCACTCCAGGCCTTCAACCTGGAGATCTGCTTCAATACAGATGTAACAGCTCTCAATGATAAAGACTCTCAGGTATGTCCCTGATACATGTATCAGAAACAAGGATCATTTCTCTTATGTTCTACTTTATCCGCAGCCAGCTTTAATCAATGTTCAGCATGGTATCACACACCACACACAATCCAAAGGAATCATTACCCTCTGGAGAGAGGTTAAATCTAAAACATAAAGGGGAGGGCTCCTTGGAGCACAGGGGTTAAAGTCTCAGCACTATCAAGCTATTGCCAGCCACTGTAACATGAGTTTGATCCCCATCCAGGGAACTAACCCGCACAGTGCAACAGATCTCTCCTGTCTATTGCTCCCTTTAGTGTATTTCAGTAGATACACCTTTTCTCCTGTTTTGTTCCCCCTCTGTCTGATGAATCCTCTCACCCCCTGCCCCCAACTCACATCTGGCCTACACTGCAGTTCTTGTGTGCATAAATAAATAAAAATAAATCTTAAAAAAATACATAAAACATAAGGGGGGTTGGAGAGAGGTGGGAAAATGAAAAATGAAATATTCTACATACTCAATAGGAATATGAAGATCTTATATGTAATGTTAAGTTTTCTGACAACCAAATTATAGAAGTAAAATAAAATCAGCAACATTAATTTTATTAAGTTTTTCAAAATATTTATCCTTTTAACACAATCAAAAAATCAAGTTATTAATATTTTACATTTTATTACACATCTTTATATAAGAGCCAAGTCTATTTTATTTACAGTCTAGCACCTCTCTGTTTATACTAGTCACATTTCAGGTGCTCAACAGACATGTGACAGTGGCTACCGTATAGGGACAGGTCTAAAGCATACCCTGGAATCCTTTACTTAAAAAAAAAATCTGGTACAAGTGTCTCAAGAATTAGTGATTTCCCAAACCTGAAATTTCAAAGTCTGAATCCTTGGGAGTTTAAAAGTGATTCTATAATGTTGGATTTTCCTGAAAGATGTAGCAGATTTGCTGCAATCTGTTAAGGGGTGAGAAAGAGTGCTATTACTAAAGAAAGCAAAAATATCTCAAGGTATTTAAAAAGGATATTTATCGTTGTTTACAATGTTTAATTCTGGAGATGTTAGAAAAGGTGTGGGGGTAGAGGGACAATGGACAAGGAGAAGGGGACAAGGTTTCTAAGCTCCCCATTCCAATCCAGCCCTCTATAACCTGCTGCTCCAAGAGCCACCCAAGCTAACCTCTATTGACGCACAAATACTTAATAAGCATTATGATAGGCTTGGCAGTCACCACAAGCTATATTCTGCAGCTCTATAGATAAGGACATTGGTACATTAAAGGGCCTCCTCATAAATCCTCATTAGCACTTTTGAAAGACTCATATATACACTTGAAGAGATCCACTGCTACATTGTTCCTAAAAGCAAGTTTGTGATAGTGAAACTGAATGTCTATTAATAGGGCTCTGATTAAGTAAGAACTTAATTGTATGGCACAGCCACATAATGGGATACTATACAGCTCATAAATCAAGGAGTGTGTACAAATAAGGGAGAAAAAGTAGAAAACAAACCCCAGCTCTATCAGGCATATTATTAAAACAAAACAGTAGGTAAATCAGAAAGCTAAAAAAGAAAAAAAATAAAAGTTCTATCAATATGTCCATATATGCAGACCATGTTGGAAGGCACTCAGGAAAATGGTTAACAGCTATTACCTCTAAGAGAAGACTGGGTCCTTGGGCAGAAAAGGCAAAATTACTTTCACCAAATATGCTTTTTAAACTTTTGAATTTTTGTCCTATATATTACCTATTCAAAGCACACACACTCACAAAGGCTTAATGTTCACCCTTAAGAATTCAGAATAAAGTTAGGGAAAAAAAACCCAAAAATTAATAAAATGCAATGTAACATTAGTGTGCATGAGGTACAATGAAGCCAGAGGTGGCATGATTCATTCTGCTTTGTAGATGGTGGGGAGAATTTGCTGCACAGACCATATCCATAAGTAAGGTACAAATGGCACTTCCATTCTCAGACTAATTCATTCTAGAGTTGCTCTTTCCTGACACATCACAGTAAATTAAAACTGTCAGACTCTGCACAATCTGGGAGCCCCTTACCCTGTTATTGTTGACTTTGTATGCAGCAGAGCTGTCTGTAATGGACGTCTGAGTGTCTCTGTAAAGGCCTGTTAACAACTGCAAAATAAGACCATATGGGGGAGATCTGAATAAACATAAAGAGCAAACCTAAATCTAACACTTCTAGGTGTAAAGTCAAATAAAAGCATGTTGTTTTGTTACCTGAAAAGAACCCAACTGATTGTTTCCCCTTTACTTGTAGACACATTTAACTGAAGGCAACTTAAGTCCCCTCTTTCCACAAGAGGTTTTTCAAACTAAAATTATTGGCCAAATTTGCCAACCTTCTACAGACTTTTTTTAATCATCAAAAATGACCAGATAGTATTTTTTTAGTATGAGAAAATTTATAATCTTTATTAAAAGGAAGAATAATTATAAAACCTCTGCTATTTTTTGTAACAGAAAACAAGGTAAAAAATGCTATATAGATTTACAATATTAATGAAAAGAAACTTAAGTAGCCTATTACATCAAAGAATCACCCTTAAAAAAATTCTCTGAGATTTCAGAAGAGTTATATGCAATGAATCACACATAAATGAATTACAAATCCTACAGCTGACCCGTTTTATCCCAGGGCTCAACCTCCCCAGACTGAACTAACTACAGAGGGAATATAAATACTAGGTAATTAGTCCTATAATGCTGGCATCTGCAATGAATATGTACATTTTTTTCTTGTCATTATTCCCTAAACAACACAGTATAACAATTAGTTACCTAGTATTCAAGCTGTATTAGGTATCACAAGCAATCTAGAAATGATTCAAATTACTAAGTGGGCATAGATAATATGCTAATATTATGCCATCCCCTATCAGGGACTTTGCATGCTTGGAGTGGGGCCTGGAACAGAGGACCCACTGAGGCAGCTCTACACAGATACTTGTCTTCTACCTCTTCAGTTGTTCTGGCCTCTGAGCCATGGCATGAAAGTAGTTACAGAGAACCCTTAAAATAGGAAAAGGACTAAATTTCAATGTGTGGTAGGTGTTAAGAAAGTATATATGGTCAAGAAATTCCACTTTAAGGAGGACAAGTCTTTTTGTCCTCCACAGGAGTAAAAAATTAATTTCAATTTGTCATATTCAGCTTCTTTTTCATGCCTTCAGGTATAATGGGGGTGCCCTAAAATTTCCTATCAAGTTTAAGAGAAGTATATATCAAAGTATTTACTCTGACAAAAAGCAGTGTTTTTCCGGAGTTACAAAGGCCAACAAGTAGCACAGCTCTTTGACTGCTCCTTCTGCTCCGAATGAACTTCCAGAACACTGTTGAACAGGAAAAAAAAAAAAATCAAAATTAAGCCTAGATAGTATACTATTACCTATAATATGAACATATGGTTGAGATCGGGAAATTATAGGAGACTACCAGCAGTTATGCTCATTCATTTGGAACGTTCTTGTATTACTACGATCATTATAATATGTTGCTATTTAGGATTCCCACTGAGTGACAAACAGTCACGACCAACTACCAACGTTTTCTGTGTGTGACTCCTCCACCTCCACTGCAGACTTCTTCAAGTCCAATTTATCTCAGCAACTCTGTACCCCAAGGGCGTAAGCCCACCCCTGAATAAAGACCCTGCTAGCCATGGCACTGAGAGCAATAAAAAGGGGCACCGCGCTATGGCACAACAGGGCCGGCGGGGTACAATTACCAGCGCTCCAAGGACCAGGACTTCATTTTGAAGTTCCCAGAGGGTCCCTTTAACTGAGCTGTTCCTACTGCTTCAAGCAGGAGAACAGAGTGGTATAACCGGCCGGTCACTCTAGATACCCCCGACTAGGTTCCAACACCGCGGTCTGCACAACCCAATTCAAGTCCGGGATCCCGATTGCTCTACACCCGCCATAACCACCAATCGCCTCTTTACCCAGCGTCAGGAACACCACAAGAAGCGCCACCACGACTGACAGCAACGTCGGGTCCCTCTGCTGCAGCTCCTGTTTCAAGGAGTCTATATAGGGTTGGAAAGCGCCCCCGACACCATCGCCATTCCCCATTCGCCGGGAGTCCACGGCAGCCATGTCTGAGGCGTACTGTCTCCGGCTCCACAAAGCAACGTGGCCCTGGGTTCTGCGTAGGCGTCCCGAGCGGAGCATCATGGGAGTGGTAGTTCCTAAGCGGTATTTCCTCTTTCGGAGGCGGGTTCCCGAAAGTCCTGGTGGGAATTGTAGTTCTCTTGGGCACTATGTTCTTAACCGAACGAGTGTCCCGCCTCAAGTATTTCAAGAGTGACGCTCTCATCTTTGAGGCGATAGGTCAAATGTGGTTGACAGAACGAAGGGTGAATGAAACTAGTGGCTCAAGAAAGCTCCACTGAGAATTTCCAGTCGTTCCTTTTCGTAGGATATCCCGTGAGAAACCTGCCATTACACAGATATTTCATCTGAATATAACGTGGCATGGGATGTGACAGCGGATGTACGGGGCTCTGTGGAATACAGAAAGGGTCGCTTAGTCCATCACTGATTCAGAGCAAAGTTCCTGGAGGATAGTGACAGGAACTGAAACAGGAAGGACGAATTCGCCTTTTCAGGAGAAAGGATGCTCTGTGCAGAAAGAAATGAGCAATTTTGTGTCCCTACCCTGTAATTTAGAGTTGCAACTGAAAAAATCTACATTGAAGGAGCCAACCAGGAAAATCAATGAGGAGGAATGGGACTGTTGAAATCTGCAGCTGTCATTTCTGCCCAAAGTGGACAGCTTCCACTCTGCAAGGCAGGTTTGTGGAACTAAGTTAGCCATTTATTCTAGTATTTCAAGAAAAGCCAGAAAGATGTGTTTTTGTGGGACATTCTGTACTCTTCTAACTTCATCAAGTGATTGGAAAACGTTCAACAACTGTGGTCTAAATAAAACCTCTCAGGGACTGCCAGTTTGCAGTCTCTGTCATTAAGTAGTTGTCGTTTTTAACAGAAATGACATCAAATAAAGCAAGAAAGATTGGGAAGGAACCAGACCTGTAGGAACTGGGTGCGATATATGTGATGCTGAGAAATCTGGACTTTATCCCAAATGAAATAAGAAGCTTTAGTTTGGGATGATGTGAGTGACGGCCGAACAATGGGTAACAATGATTGAAGAGAGAAATACTGGGAGCAGAAGACCCTTTAGGTGCTATTGCAGTATATTGGCAAAAGATGTTCAGAGTTTAAAGCTCGAACACAGGTAACTATGGAAAGGAGAGTGCAGTTTTGACAGATGCTTAGAAGGAAAATATATAGCATTTAGTGATTAATGGGATATGCTTACTAGGAGACTTATCAAGATTCCATTTGAAGCAGTTGGTGTGGGTTAGTGGGAAGATCAGAGTGCACAAAGTGAACTAAAAACTCAGTTGGAGGGACTTTGGGGTGGGGAGGGGCGCGACCAATAGTTAGAATGAAAATTGCATTTCAGATGACTTTGGAAAATCTAAAATCTTTTATCAAGCAGGTGATACTATTTACCATATCAGTTGTAATTGTTTACAAATGTCAAATTTCAGTAATAAATGCTGTGTTTTCATTTGCGAGACATAGGTAAACAAGTAGTCATTAAAATCATGCAAGTATTGAGAGAAAGGAGAAAGGAACTGGTCAAGCCAAGGAGGAAGTCAGCAAAAATAGGAGTAAGGCAGGAAATGGCCAGCAGCATCTTTTTTAGCAGAGAGGTTCATTTGATGAAGCCTTCAGTGAAAGTGGACTCTTTGGAAATGGAATTTAGAAACAGAAAAAAAAAAAAGGTCCATGTATACTACAATTAAAACTCCAAGTAAAATCTATTTTACTTTGAAAATGATCAGTAATTTTAGTTCATGCATATTTTGAAGAAAAAAGTAGGCAAAGAATGATAGTGGAAGATATGTTAGCTCAAATTATTTCTAGACATTATAATTAAAAACCTACACTGAAGAAGTTTTATTTATAAGTAGTCTTCATGTTAGCTAGCTTGCTTTAAATATACACTTATGAAAGAAATGGAAGTTAATCTTCCACTTTAATAACTAATCTTTTTTTGCAATCCTAACTATTCAAGTTTTCGTTTAACTGTAATCCATTGAGGAAAAAAAAATGCTTTTGATTAATTTGATGATTGAAGATATTGGTCACCTCTCTATTTTTATTAACAAAACTACATTTTCTTCTTTATTGTTTGACAAATTAAAAGAAAATTCTCTGTATAATAAAGAAAGAAAGAAAAAATAAAGTGAGCTCAGAGGGAACAGTGGGCAGGGAAAGAAGAGCTTGGGTATGGAAGCAAGGCTGGTGGGTTAAAAAGAGGTAAGGAGTGAGTATAATTGCTTACATTAGTGAGTTCTTGCTAGCAGCAAACATTACTCTATACTTTCTTTTTTTAAATATTTATTTATTTATTTATGCATACTAAAGAACTAGATTATGGGCCAGAGGATCCAGCAGAGACAGAATGGGGAGCAGAACAGGCAGATGGACTGAAATACACTGCTGAGAGGAACAGCGGGCAAACCATGTGGATCACCTCCTTGGCCAGGAATTGAACCCAGGGTGCCATAGCTGCGATTGTTTCATGGTGCAGTGCTTTAACCCATTGTGCCACCAGGGAGGGCCCCTATTCTGAATACTTTCAATTTATTAATTTGGCTGTCATCTCAGTATTACAGAAGGCAAAATAGCTTACTCTGGTTTACATAGTAAAGGACAGAGCTGATGTTTGATTCCAGGCATTTGGGCTCCTTTATGCTTAATTATATGCTCTAACATAGTTCAGTTCATTTTCTAGCTATTTTGATAAAGGAAGGCCTAGGGACTCCAAAGCAATGAAGGCTATTTAGGATATGATGTTAAAGTAAGTAAACCAACTACTTTATTTTTACATGAGGAAATGATTTACTCTAAGGTAAGTTATATGAAAAACGTGATCATACTACATTCTGTGGCTCACCAACTGCCTTTTTTAAAATTAGTATTCTCAGTTAAAATTACCATAACTGATAGTAATCTTAGCACATTATATTTCTTTTCTTTCTTATGGCCTCCATTCCTGCTCTGTATCATAACCATGATTCCTCTTTAGAAAAATCACGACTTGGATTATGTCATTACATATACCTGCTGGTGATTAAAACTGAAAGGAGGAGAAAAGACCTGACTTGAAGAAGTCCAGCCAACACTGTCCTCATTGGATAAGGATTTTTCATCAAAGCTTTAAATATAAATATGAATATAAAAAGTGCTACTGTGATGATGAAATTTGGGGGTGATGAAAGAGTGGTTTAACAAGACAAAGTCATAGTTTTGTTTTCATTTTGTTTCTTGCTATTCTGAAGGCAGGAGCATCTACATGTAGCACTGCCAGTTCAGCCTCAGGAATGCTCAGTGAGGGGACAGTCCTCTGAGATAGAAGAGTGTGAGACACTGCCTGTCCTCACCCATTTCCACATATGGAAAGGTCAGGTCTCCAGGTACTCTGTAGACAAATGGAGGGGAGAATGTGTGCAGAAACTGCATGCTGTTGCTTAAGGAGTTCTCTTCATTGATTCACATATCAGATGGAGAGTTACAATGCTTCAGATGGAGAGTTACAATGCAACAAGCATATCCAGAGGATCTCTCCTTTTCTGATTCCTCAGTGAAAGTGTCATGTTCACCAGACACATTTTCCTTCCTCTCCTATTCCCACCAACTCCAAAGCACAATGAAGCCTATATTCAGGGAAACAACCATGTGATTCCAGAACTCAGACTTTCTCTTTAATTCTGCTTCTTTATAAAACTACTTAGGGGCGGGCCCTTCCTGGTGGCACAACGGATTAGGAGGCAGCACTGCAAGCTAGCTACAGCTGCTTCAGTGAGAGTTCAAATCCCCACCTTGGAGGCAACTCACATGGCGTGGCAGACCTCACCCCTCAGCAGTGTACTTAGTCAACCTACCTGCTCTGCTCCCTACTCTGTCTCTGGTGAAGCCTCTCACCACCCCCATACCTCTGGCCTGCACCCGAGTTCTGTATGAATAAACAAATATTTAAAAAAAATACTTAGGGGCTTAAAAGAAAAAGAATTAAAGTGAGATGTGCATATTGTATTGAAACCTACTCTTGTATATTTTTATATATGATCATTATTTATAAATACTGAAAGATCAAAGAATAAATCCAAAAACCATCTCAGTTGTTATACTTATAGTATCTGTGTGTATAGATAGGAATAAGGAAAAGTAAACAAATTATTTGAAGAGCCAACAGTGCCTGACTTCATGCTAAGTACTCAGTACATTGTTGACAAAATTAGATGTTTCAATTCACTGGATTAAGAGAGCATACCCAGGAGAAACCAAGGGGCATCTCACCAAACAAAGCAAGACAGAATTATTAGAGAATTTGGAGAAAGGGTGGAGTTGGGCTGAATATCACATAAGGCAGAATGTTGATGGGCTCAAAGTGAGGCAGAGTTGTGTGCTGAGAGGTGAATGGCAGGCTGGACTGCAGAGTGGACCCAGTGTTTGGTTCCAGAAAGTTGAGAAATGTCCAGAAACCTTTTTGGAGCTCTGCCCTGTAAGATCATGGCAGGAGCTAGGAAACAGGTCAACTGGAGAGTTGTCTATGAGGCAAAAAATCAACAGAACTTGGTGATATTGGGTATGGACCGAAGGAAACAGCTGAAATTTGACTCCTTAGTTTGTGGCTCCTGTTAGTGAGTAGACCATGCTTTTATATGTTGTGGAAAATAAAGAAATGGCAGATTAGGGAAGCCAGAGAGGATGGGAAAGATGATCACTTCAGTTTTTGATTTGTGGGATTTCTGGTTTCTATGAGAATGCTATAGTGTAGAACCACAGGCAGGAGGTGGTCTGAGTATGGGAATGCTAGATGCAGGGCTCAGAAATCTAGGTTTCCAGGAGTCACTCTACTGCTTAGGAAGGGCTCAGAGAGTGCGACTGATTTTACTGATCTTCAGTTTCAAAAGAATGCCATGAAGGCTTCTCTAAAATTCCGGGTTGGCAGGCTGAGCCCACAGTAAGGTCATAGATGGACAGAAATCATAATGAAAGCAGAGAGCTTCCATGTCAGAGACTCTGGGGGAGATTCTAAGGAAAAGATTTCTGTATATATATAGTATATATACAGAAATGATACATATATATTAAATATATGTGCATCATTCATACATACATACATATATATATATATATATTTAATATATGTATCAGTGCTAGAAACAGACTCAGGACTGAAAGAATGAAATTGATCTCCACATTTAGCAGGTGGGCCATGACCTTGCCCAGGTGGCTAAGGCAAGTGGGTGAAGCAGAAGACTGCTGTGAGGAATGGCAAGCGTAAAAGGCCTCTTCTCTGGAGCTTGACTGAGAAAGGCTAGAGATGGGGTTAAAGAATGATTTATAGCAAGATGCTTCTGTGGTTTACTTTTTCAACTACTTAGAATCACGACCTCAAGTATACCTGATGCAATTAATTTAAAATATTTTTAAGGGTTTTCCTGGTGGTGCAGGGGTTAAAGTCTCAGCATTATCAAGTTATCATCAGTCACAACAGCATGAGTTCAATCCCCACCCAGGGAGCTGACCCATATGGCGCAGCAGACCTCTCCTGTCTTGCCTGCTGCTCCCCTCAGCAGCAGTGTATTTCAGTAGATCTGCCTGTTCTGTGCCCCACTCTGTCTCTGGTGAATCCTTTCACACACACACCCCACACCCCGCACCACTGGCCTACACTCCAGTTCTTGTGTGCAATATATATATATATATATACAGAAATCTTTTACAATCTGTTTCTATACTCCCTTGAGCAATCTATCGATAAATAACACATTGCCCATTCTCTTTCCTACCTTCTCCCTAACAACACAGAAACACACACACACTCCCCAAGAGCCATATACATGTGATTCATTATAATGACCATGGAAACTCCTTTTCCAAAGAATTCCTACTTGAGCTCTACCAGGAGATGTGGCTGTGGCACCGAAGATCAGATGAGCGCTGAGCTCCGAAAGTGAGGCACATGGATTCAGATGATATAAAAGGAACCCTTTCACCCAAGCATTTAGAGAAGAATGAAACTTTAAAAGACAAACTCAATATTAACTTTTATTTTGTGTTCTGTAACAGTGCCGCCACCAAACTGAAGACAGTCAAGCCATTCAGGCAAGTGAAACCAGAGAGAAAATGTGTGGGTCACGTGACCTTCCTTCTCTGTCTGGTGATGGCTTCCCACTCTTGGATTTTAACCTCTGTGGAAGGTGCAGGCTTCCAGGAGTCCTGTGGGAGAAAGCAGAGAGATAGGAGAGTCAACATCTACCTGAATTTATTTTCTGTTCAGTGAGGAACTTAACCCTGACACAGAAGTGTTCATCCCTGATGCCACGCTTTTCTGCTAGTGCAGGCACATGCATGGCCATTCTTTTAGCGGCCTTCTCCATGGCCTGCATGGCCACTCTGCCTTTCTAGGTAGTGCTGTGCATCACCATGGCCTCCCTGGCTACTGTCAGAGTTCCCTGACCTGAGTTTACCTGACTAGAAGGAGTCTATCCTCTCAGACCACCAAGCTGGGGGTGGAGCAGAGAACAGCAGAAAGATAGACATTCTCCCCTCATGGAGGGTCTAAGTTAAGTAAGTGTCACTGGTGACTGCAGCACTGGCCTTGAGCAAGCATGTTCCTTATCTCAGAATTGCATGGGGCAGCTTTTAAAATGCATGAACTCTGCTCCTGGCACAGACTTACTGAGTCTGTCTCTCCAGAGCCCAGGGCTCAATATTTTAAGGACTTTTATACTTTTATACATGAAGTCTGAGGAATAGCCACCCCGTAGCCACATGGGATGGCTTCACATATTCCAAATGATTTTAAATGATTAGATGACATAAGAGTGTAAAGATGTGTTTCATTGCATTTTAATCTTAGGAATCTGGTGTTCTAGATGAGTGGGGTCTATGGCAACTTTATGGTTAACAGAACTTATTTTTCAAGAGCAGCACTATGTAGAACTTTCTGTGATGATGGAGTGTACTCTCTGAAACGCGCTCTCTGCTTACCCATATGGAGTTACCTGTAACTATTGAGCATTTGAATTGTGGTGTGACTGAGGAACTAAATATCTAGTTTTGTTTAATTTTAATTAATAGAAATTGAAGTCGCCCACCTCGCCAGAGGCCACATACTAGACAAGCAGCACTGCGTGAACAGGAGTTTCGTGCAAAGCCATGTGCACACACACTTCCTTTTCTTAGTAATAAGACAGAATTCTGTACACCCAGGTAGTTTCTGCTTATGTGTCCTCAGCCCATGTCCCCTATGCCACCTGCCCCACAAGTAGCCTTTCCTATACCCTGGTACTCCATGCTCCCTCAATATTTCATCTTGTCCATGTGGTTACATCCCCAGGGGGGCCACAGCCCAGTCTTCCTTTTGTGCCACTACCCAGAACTCTGCCTGTAGTTGCTGCTTCCCAAATGTTGTTCCGCTACTCACCTGAGGTGGAGCATTTTCTCAGGTTTGTCACAGCTGTGACATACTCTGCTCCTAAGTATGATTCATATGTTGCTGTGTCCTGAAGTTTGGCCAAACATACGGTGCCATCTTTGAACAGAAGGTCCTTCGTTTGTGAGTGGAACAAGCAAAACTTGTTGGAGCAGTCGGATTCATCTATTCCAAACTCAGCCTGTTAAATGGACAAAAAGTGCATAAGGACTTGTGTGCACGATCAGTTGGGAACATGTGGGTTGGACAGAGGGGTAGGAATGGTCCGTGGGAAGAGAGACAACCTGCAGTGGCAACCTTAGAATCTTCCCATATCACCTGGCATTCAGCCATTTTTTTTGCCTTAGCCTCTAGCTTCTGTAGCCCCAAAGTCCTCTGTGGGGTCCTCTTTGCCCCCATCTCTTCTGGAATGTCCTATATTCCTACCCCCCCCCCATTCCTAATTTCTCTGGTATCTTTTCTCCTTATTGACCATGTCCCTTGGGAGGCTGCTGATGAGAAATGAAGACAGAAACATTTCCCTTCCAAGCATTATTGTCTCAGAAGACGTTAAGTGTGGGCCACCCAGTGAGGGGGTGGGACAGGTAGTTGGTAAAAGTTCACATTTGGCTGTAGCTGAGCCTATCTTAGGTAGGAAGCTTGACTACCTCAGGCTTCCTAAGGTCATAAGTGAAGTGAAAATTTAATATTCCATCTAGCACCTAAAAAATGTTCATTAAATGCTCTCATCATTAGTTATCTCAACAGGATTCACAGAAGTTGTTACTGTGATTTGAGCTACAGGTGGAAGTCGTTGCTGAGGGGAAGGTGGTGTCTGAGTAAAGAAGTTTTGGGATTAGAATAATCAATCAGTCCTTCCCTACCAGGCCAGCCCTGGGTTACTTGTTCCCCCAGTCCCCCACCCAGGATAAGCTCTCGTAGCAGGGCCTGTGTTTTTCTAGCTGTTGGAATGGTTGATTGGTTCTCAATCTGCCAAGCAAGAGAAACATGGTCCGCATTTCATGACATATCATGAAGGCTGAAAGACACGGTAGGTCTCCATTTTTAAAAATAGTACAATTCAGGAAAATTCAGGTGCCACAGAGGAAGGTGGGGGTGAACAGGAAGGCAGACAGAGGACATCAGCTAAGGACTTATCTCCAGTTAGCAGGAGACATAAAAAGAGCCAGATCTGGGACATCCAGTTTTCCCAATGATGCTCTCTCAGTTCTGGTTTCCAGAGACACAGTGCTACAAAATGGACTAGCCCCTTCCACTTCCAGTCAGGAAGAAAAGGTGGGAATCCCAGCTAGCCATACCTGCTGGTTGAGTAACGTCTGGCGGACACAAGCTGCCTTATCTTTCCGAGTCACCACAGCATGGTTGGGCCCCCGGGCTAAGAAGCAGTTCTCAGCCTCACTCAAAGGTTTCCTGGTACCATCAGGGCACAGCAGTTGAAAACTATCCTGTGTCAGACCCTTAGCCCAGTCTTCAGTGTTCTTTCCTGGAGGCAGAGAAAGTGGGTCAGCCTCAGTTTATGGTTTTAGTCAAAGTGCCTTCACTGGTGTGGGGGTGTGGGTGTGTGTGGGGGGGGCGTGGGACCAACTCACTGGCGTGTGGAGGACCCAGCAGCCAGCAGAAGCACATGTACTGTGGTTACAGTGATGTGGAATGAAGAGATGCCCACACAGCTACTGGGGGTGGGGGAGAGTCGGCTCACACCAGGAATCCCTAAAGAATCTTCCCTTCTAACCTGTCCCTTATAACTAGGGAGCATGAACTAGAGTCTGTGGATGATTTTCTTTTTTAAGGTCTGAATTTTGGGCCTCCCTGATGGTGCAGGGCTAACGTCTCAGCTATTGAGCTATTGCCAGCCTCTGTAGCATGAGTTCAATGCCCAGCCAGGGAGCAGACCCACACGGTGCAGCAGACCTCTTCTATCTTGCCTGCTGCTATATTTCAGTCAATCCACTTGTTCTGCTCCCCACTATGTCTTTGGTGAATCCTCTTACCCTCTGCCCTTTTGGCCTACACCCCAGTTTTTGTATGCATAAATAAATATCTATAAATCTTTAAAAAGAGAAAAAAACCCTGCATTTCTACTAAACTCCAAAGAATTTGGACTTCTTGCTCTGGCATCACAAGAATGTGACCCTTTAAGCAGCTTGACCATCTCTGTGCTCCACAGATCAGCACTGCCAAACATAAGCTGTCTTTTGGATGCTGAACAGGTGCTAAACTCCAACTTGCCTTCCTCGCCAAGTAAATGCACATATCCTCCCAAGCCTTCTAACACTTCTCCTCTCGTTCCTTACCCGTCCCTCCCACTCAACATCTTCCAAATGACATCTATCATCCTTCTCTCCAAACCCCTTCTGTTCTGTGTAGTAACTTGAACATTTATTCAATAGTATGGTCTCAGCTCTCTGCAAGACACAATCTTACTAAAGGGGAAAAGCAACTCAAATACCAAAAGTAAAATTAAGGACATAGATAATATATTCTTATGGTTTGTGGAACACACTCAGTGCTGAGTGAGCTCAGAACCAGCACAGCGAGAGAACAATACCCAGGGGAGGCTGAATGAGGGAGGCAAGGTCTCAGGTATGCCTCACCCATAGCATTTCAGGATTGAGGAAGGAGAAAGAATGCTTCGGTGGGAGGAAAGAAGGCCCTGGCGAAACTCAGGGACAGGGACAGGGACAGGCCTCGTGTTGCTAGTGGGGCAGAGGACAACTAGCCTAGGGACAGGTCCAAGGCGGTGGGGTCACACCAGGGAGGCACACTCAGATACTAAAGGCCTTGAAGGTGGGATGGAATATGGAGTTTAGGTAGGAGAAAGAGTGGGTCTATGAGGTTGTATGAACGGAAATCAATGTTAACGTATGAGCCAGGCACACAAATTGGAAATTTAAGTCAAAAATAAGATGGGAGGTAGTTCATAGGAAATAGTTATGAAGGACCTTTTGGGAATGGCTCACTAAATTTGTATATGGACTGTGGATATGATGAATATTAAGTCCACATCAATACAGATTTCCTGAGGGTTCCTTGGACAGGATTTGGGCCAGTGGGTACCTCATGGTCCTTACTGCTCTGTCTACCACGTGAACACTTCTCTCTTACTGAACAAGCTGTCGAAAATCAGAACTCTTGAGCCTGCCAAACCCATATCACATAACAAAGACATCCTGAACACAGTGAACCCGGGGACCCTGATTTATACAGACAGAGGAATATGTGTACATACCGTCAATGTTCTGCAGGACAGCATCTATTTTCAGAAAGGCCACATCTCCTTTCTCAACCAGACACCTACAGAGTGCCAGGCAGGAGAACAAAGAAGAGAGGGAGTCAGAGGGCAAAACCATCATTTAGGAGAGCCACACTGACGTCCGAGCTGGCCATCTGACAGTCATCATAATGCCCGACTGTCACTGACCTACCATTAGCACTAAACCTCCCTACCACAAACCTAAATAACAAAAAAGTAAACAAACCTTCCAGTTTGTTTTATAGTTATGCAATCTCAGTTCTACATGCCTAACCCTCAAAAAAGCTGTATCATTTTCCCTGTAATTATAGATATTAGAAGGTAGTTTTCCAGTAAGGTGATTCTTTAGTCACATACTACTTTGTAAAATTGGAAACTGTGGACAGTGAATTTATTCACTCTAATTCACAATTTGGTTTTGTGACTTCATTTACTATGGGCACTTTCAGTTATAACACCACCCTCACTGTGCAGCTGATGGATTCATGAACTACTAAGTTACATGAGCCTGAGTATTAGAAAGGACATTAAAAAGTAGTAAGGTCATAAGGTGCACACAAATGTCTATACAAATGAAATATCTATACTTGGGAATATAGAAATCTGTACCTTGATTTTTTTAGAGATTTAATTGCTTTATTAATTGACTCATACATCTGAGAGCAACTCATCTAGATGTTGCAAGGGATTACACAAAATGTAAGGTATTTATAGACAGCAAAAGAGTAGGATAGGTTATTTTTTAAAAAGTTATTTCAGGTAAAACTATGTCCCTTGAAGGCAGACAGTGGGTTTTATCATTGCTGATCTGGAAATGGACTTGACTTTTTTCCAGTTCCATACTAATATGGTTGCAGGGTCCACTAACATGCATAGCAGAACATAGGGCAGACTTCTATTGTCTATATTAAACTATGGTAGAGTTTTCACATCATGGCATGAGTGACATTTTGGACTAGGCAAAATGTCACTGTTGTTGTTGGATGTTGTCATATGAGAATTTTAGGCAACTTCTACCAATTAGAGACCAGGAGCACCCTCCCAGGCCCGACCCCATGTGATAATCACAGTATTTTCAGACACTACTCAATGGGCAGGGGATATATTCACTGTTGAGAACTTCTAACAAGCACCTGAGTGCTAGTTTTGCTATGACAGCTCTGGAGGCAGCGCCCTGAAGGGAGCTGGGTACTCTTTCAAACATTCTCTTCACATGTTGACTAAACAAGACACCTGATGCGTGCAGGACTAATGTTTGGAGACATAAAAATTCACTTAGCTCCTAACATGAATACTGGATGGTGTCACTAGTAAGTGGAATATAGAGAAACTAAAGTAAGAGCCAGAGAAAGACAACTTTAAAAGCTACCCCTTGAGGGTCTTCCCTGGTGGTGCTTCTTACAGCGCAGCTTCTTACAGCATAGCACTAAGAAGCTTGCCACAGCCGCCTCATCAGGAGTTCAATCCCCAGCCAGGGGATCTGCATCCATGGTGCAGCAGACCTCTCCTGACCCGCCCGCTGCTCCCCTCAGCAGTGTACTTTGTCAATCTGCCTGTTCTGCTCCCCACTCTGTCTCTAGTGAAGCTTCTCACCACCCCTGCACCTCTGGCCTCTACCTCAGTTCTGTATACATAAATAAATAAATAAATCTTTTTTTTTTAAGCTACCCCATGAAAACTATGAACTAAAGCATCCAAAGAGGGGAGGGGGGTGGTATAAGAGTAGGGACAAAAAGGGCAGTGAACTATGGTGATGGACTAGAGGTGACTAGAATTCAAAGAATTAAACTTTTTGAAGTTAATAAATGAAACATAATTACTTAGGGGAAAAAGACAATCTCACCTTAGTTCCTAGAAGGGGATTTTCTAAGCACTTCGGTTTATTTGTATATTCAAATGAGGGGTAAAGGACTCACCTGAGGGCCCCAGTGTAGCCATAGTATCTCTCGTTGCTGTTGGGAAGACACTCCCTTCCAGGAGCAGAGGCTGAGCCAATACACAGATCACAGAGACTGGAGTTGCGTCTGTACCCCGGGGCGCAGCCTTGACTGAAGAATTCATCTGTGCAGAAGGACAAGAGGAAGTGAGCTCTTGCCAAGCACTAGGAGTCACCTTCATTTAGCACATACCACGTGTGCATGGCCTAGCCGAGGAAGCCATGCTTTTTCTGTGACCTTGTGCCAACTCAGAACCTATTGGCTTTGGATTAAAAGGAAACTTAGTTGAGGCTCTGCAGAGACGTTAGTGAGCATTATGATTTAGGTGGAAGGGATTCCATGGGGACTCTGACAGTGACATCACTCGTGAAGAGAGAGAACAAAGGAAGGGATAAAACTAGAAGTCTCACTCCCTGAGCTTGTGGCATCTTTTCTTAAATAGTTCCTTCCTTTGCTGTTTTTTAGAAGAGGCTTTAGAAATCCAAGGTCAAGAAAGAGGGTTAGGGCTCCCTGGTGGGGCAAAGGGGTTAAGTCTCAGCACTATGGAGCTATCAGCAGTCACTGAATCATAAGTTCAATCCCCAGCCAGGGAGGTGACCCACATGGCACAGCAGCCCTCTCCTGTCTCGCCCGCCGCTCCCTTCAGCAGTGTAGTTTGTCAATTGCCTGTTCTGCTCCCCACTCTGTCTTTGGTGAATCTTCTCACAAGGCCTGAGTTTTTGTATGCATAAAAAGATAAATCTTAAAGAAAAAGAAAACATTTGTCCACGGTGAACTTTCATATAGCTTTTTGGGAGAGCAGAACTAAGCTCATACCTGAAGACATTCAGAGATCACAGGGACTAAATTGATTTCTCTACCTTCAAAGGGGTGTAGGAACGGGGCAGTCACTTGATGAGACTGCTGGGACCTTAAAGAGACCTGAGATTCCACACATGTCTGCAGCCTACCCAGCCTATGGCAGGGACTGCAGCTGCCCACCCAACATCCTCTTCCCCTATTTCTTACTAATAATCTAGTTTGTTTGTAAAATGATAAGAACTTTACTCTCTTAGAAAATTTCTAATATACAGTATAGTATGATTATCTATAATCACCATGCTGTAGCTTCTGTTCCCAAGATTTCTAATTGAAAGTTTATATCTTTTGACTACCTTCCCCCATTTTGCTGCCTCCCCACACCCAAGTCCCTACCTCTGGCAACCACCAATCTGTTGTCTGTATTTATGAGTTTAGATTAAAAAAAAATAGATTGGGGGTCATTCTTTTTAGATTCAACCTACAATTGAGATCATACACTATTTGTCTTTTTCTCTCTGACTTATGTCATTTAGCATAATGCCCTTAGGGTACATCCCTGTTGTCCCAAATGGCATGCTTTCCAACCTTTTTTATGATTGCATAATACTTCATTGTTTACACAGGTATCCAGGTATTACACAGCTTTTTTTCAAAGCTTGCATCATGCCACTTCTAACTGAAAGATCTCTGAAGAGGATGTTCGTTGTTTGGACAAAAGGCAAAGAGTGAAATTAGCATTCCTGTTTGTTTTGCAGTTGGTGAGCCATTTTGACTTAAGGAAGCTTCATAGTAACCTTTCATGGTTTACAGGCTCACAGATCATTTATCCATTTTTCTACTCATGGGCCAGGTTTTCCCATATTTTAGCTGTTGTAAATAACAGTCCAATGAACATGGTGGGTACATATCTTTTCAAATTAGTGTTTTTGTTGTCTTCAAATACCCAGAAGTGGAATCTCTGGATCATATGGTAGTTCTATTTTAATTTTTTGAACAAAGGTATAGTTTTATTTTGGGACGAAGCATTTCCAAATAAAAGATGACATTTCCCAACCTCTTTTATAGCTAAGTGTGACTACTATGTACCTAAGCTCCAGATAATGACAAATTACTTGAAGTAAATGGACTAGATCTCCTGGGTGACTCCCTTAATAAGGTGACAGCAGGTGACATAATCTTCAAGATGCACTAAGTCCTGGCTCTTGAGGGGCAAACCATGGGGCCCTTGAAGATGGAGGCCTCCTGCTTAGAGAGGTGGAGCAGAAAGAAAGAGGGAGCTGGGTTTCTAAAGACCATATCACCCATGGACTGTTCATCTCGCATCTTTTTCATGAGAGAGAAAAGTAAATATATATTCCTTAAGCCACTAGGTACATAGAAAAGAGCCATTCTGATTCACCCTCCTATGCTTGCATCTATTAGATATTTCTTTTCGGTATTTCCTTGCGGTTTACTTCAACCAAATGTTACTAAGACAGAAACAGTTACAGTATGTTGTACTATGCCATTCTCCTCCCCTCCTTCTGGTCTGGCTCTGACCACAGCACTCTCCCAGGAGCACTCACCAAATTCACACTTTTTGATCTTGCTGTGGAGAAGACCCATGGGTATGTTCCAGCCAGCGGTTCTATCTACACCTGTGTGACAGGACTTCTTGCCTTGCAGAGTGTCCCAGGTGATGCTGGGATCTGATGCCTTCACCACAGCCACAGCAAGATACCCTATAAGAAAGACACCAAAAAAGGAAGGGTTGAAAACTTTGGGCCTTCCAGAGTGTCTGTCTGCAATTAGAGCCTGCCATCTCCCTTTGAAAGCAAAACTATCCTTCTATTTTGGAAACGGTCTTTCTATTAATTGGCTGAAGTGAGGCACAAGTCACTTTGTGAGACTAATCTGAACTTAAAAAAAATAGTAAAGGTCTCCCTGGTGGTGCAAGGGTTGGAGTCTCAGCTCTATCAAGCTATTGCCAGCCCCTGCAGCATGAAATCAATGGCCCAGCAGACCTCTCCTGTCTGCCCACTGTTCCACTCAGCATCGTATTTCAGTAGATCTGCCTATTCTGCCCCCCCACTCAGTCTCTGATGAATTCTTTCACCTCTCCGTGCCTCTGCCTACAACCCAGTTCTTGTATGCATAGCTAAGTAAAAAGAAATCTTTTAAAAAAAATAGTAAGAATGCATTATCATCTGAGCAATGACTAACGTATAATAGCTGCATACAGCTACTAAAGTTATAAACTAGCAACTCCCCTGTGGGATATGAAAGGGATGGACCCTGAAGTATACATATAACACCAACATTTTATACATTAACAATTATTAGGACAGAGTAGTAAATGACCAATAAACTACAGAGATTAGTTTGACTTGATATTTTGTGATAAGAATTCAGTTTTGTAGCAAAGTAACTAGGAAAGTAGAAACTGTCAAAACCAGCACAGCTGCCATCTTTAGCAGCAAACATATCCAGGCCCTTAAAATTGGGAATGGGACATCAACCCATGATTTCAGTTTTCCAATTTAATTAATTCAATAAACTATAACACAAAACAGAGAAGCTGTATTGTACATGGATTAAGGACAATTCTTTCCATATTTTCCTACAGAAAATATATAAGAAGTGATCTTAGAGTGATGGGGAAAGTCTGGGATCTTGTCACTAGGGAAAGTCACAAGGACAGAATCATACACCAATGGCTAGAAAGTGAACTGGAGAGGCCTAAGCTTAGGGGCCCTCGGGGCTCAGTGCTCACTTTGGTGCAAGATGTTCTAACTTGCTTGCACCCCCATCTCTCCAAATTCACCTGCTCTAAGAGCCCTTGAGAGTGCTGGTTGGCCTGGGTGAGAGGCTGGCTAATTTCATATTCCTAGATGCCTGCCTAGTATGGCCCCTCTCCTCAGCCTGGCCAGGCACAGATTAGCATGACTTCTTGCTGGTGCTAGCTTTCATATAAAGCTGCACAGGCCTCATGTAATGGGATGCAGCCCGGTATGCTGGGGGCACATCATTCGCTTAATGGATATAGCAGCCTGGACAATTTATAAACATTCTGAGCCACTGGTCCTCTAATGCATCCTTACAGGACAGCAGATCTACCTCACTGGACTAGGTGAAAATTTCTGAGTGCAGGTCGTGGTCAGTATGGAAGAGTTACTATCACTATGAATTACTACCCTTCTGTAAAACTTTTGTGTTTTAAAAAGTTGGTCTCGGGCCCTCCCTGGTGGCGCAGCGGGTTGAGGCACTGCCCTAGGAGGCTTAGGCCACTTCCGCATGGGTTCGATCCCCGCCTGCCCCGGAGGTGACCACATGGCGTGGCAGACTTTTTCTGGCCCACCCGCTGCTCCCCTCAGCAGTGTACTTCGTCGATCTGCCTGTTCTGCTCCCCACTCTGTCTCTGGTGAATCCTCTCACCCTCCCCATCTCTGGCCTGTACCCCAGTTCTGTATGAATAAAATAAATAAATCTTAAAAAAAAAGTTGGTCTCTTCTATTGCCACATCTACTTTGGGTTTGAATTTAAACATATAAACTTACCTTACTCTTTCCCAAAAGCAATGGAAATTTTGGAAATTTATCTTAAAATTCATAACATTACCAGTCCCAACTCACCTCTTTCTGGTGAGTTTACACACTGAGCTCCTTTAGTTTCTGGAGAAGTAAAAATAAAATCATCAATATCTCATTTATAGTGATTGGAAATGTTGTCTTTCTTATGTTGCAGCACAGAGTAAACCTAGAACCTATATAGTGGTAAAATTACAAAAAAGTTCAGGCTATGTGGATTATGCAAATTCACTTGAGCTCATGGCCCTCTAGAATTTACTGTGAATTTCAAGTTTTCTGCCCTGACTATCCTTGATCACTGTGCTTCTTGCCAACTAAGCTTGAATCCCAGCATCAGGGCAACAGAAATGTGAGTTTTAAAAACAAGAAAACCCTTTTAGGGGCCTCCCTGGTGGTGCAGGGGTTAAAGACAGTGCCATCAAGCTATTGCCAGTCACTGAGTTCTCCCCTAACTCGCATAGCATAGCAGACCTCTCCTGACCCACCTGCTGCTTCCCCCAGCAGTGTACTTTGTCAATCTGCCTGTCCTGCTCCCCACTCCATCACTGGTGAATCCTCTCACCCCCTGCACCTCTGGCCTACACCCCAGTTCTGGTATGCATAAATAAATAAATATTTTAAAAGGAAAAAAAAAAAGCCCTTTTAGGAATCCCAGGTGAGAACGGTCTTCTGCAGCAGGTTTATTTTTAGCTAGAGCTTCACAGGGCATCACCCTGGTGGGAAGCCCAGAGAAAGCTCCCATCCTTCAAGATATCTGTGGGATTAGATAGGAAGGCGCCTGAAGCCTGGGAAGTAGGAAATTCTTAGTAAGCAAGAGCTTTATGGTGATACTGTATGAATCAGGCTGTGATGTTCCCATCTCTCTCCATGAGGGAATGAAGCCCAAGAGGCACATCTCCACTTACTGTAGTTCTCTGCCAGGACAGGCACCAGCCCACACATGCCCGCTATGTAGATATAGCCGCCGTCCAAGCTCATGGCATCAGCTTCTCCTTTCTGCAAAGACAGCACATCACACCAGATGAAGAGAGGCCACCTCCTGTCCCACCTGCCCTTTTAGCTATTTCCCTGAAGCAGCCTTCCAGCAGGTCACGCAGGTGCGAGGAGACAGCAGGTGCTAGTTCTGGACCCACAAAGGTTTAGTAAGGCACACCCAGTGCAGACCACCAGCTGTGCGCGTTTTCACCCCGCTACACTGAACTGATAATCAACTCTAGGTGCCTTGCTTAATTTCTTCAGGAGCAAAAACTCACATTCTCTCCTCCTGTCCCAGAGAGGAATTCTCATCTGCAAGACAGATGAGTGCAATCTTGAGGGGTCTTGAGTTTGCGTCTGTGACAAAGTGGCTGTGTCTGTGACAAAGGGCTGGGGAGTCCCTCCCCAAATCTTGGCCATATGGGCTCAGTGCTTAGTGCAGATGAGATTTTCAGTCTACGAATATGTCCTAAATCTACGAATATGTCTAATTCTCAGATTTAAGAAGCACTGAATGAGGGAGATGCATAAACCCAACAAAATGACCAAACATTCCAGTGGGGCTGGCAGTATTCTTTGTAGCAGTACACGCTAAAGGAATAATCAGACAATTATTTGGGCAAAATGTCTAAGTGGGCAGAGACAGGTAAGTATGACTCAGAGTAGCAAAAGTGTAAAAACAAACTAAATGATGTTATGGACAAATGGCAAAATAAATAGTATCATATCCACACTGTGGAACAGGTCACAATTTTAAAAGGCAACATGGGTAGGACTGGAGGCGACTATGCTAAGCAAAAGAAGCCAGAAGTAAAAAGACAGTTATCAGTCCCTCCCTGGTGGCGCAGCGGGTTAAAGCACTGCACTAAGAAGCTGAAACCACTTCCGCATGAGTTCGATCCCCGCCTGCCCCGGAGGTGACCACATGGTGTGGCAGACCTCTCCTGACCCACCCACTGCTCCCCTCAGCAGTGTACTTCGTCAATCTGCCTGTTCTGCTCCCCACTCTGTCTCTCTGAAGTCTTTTGCCACCCCTGAGTCTCTGACCTGTACCCCAGTTCTGTATGCACAAATAAATAAATATTTTTAAAAAAAGACAGTTATCAGATGGTCTCTTATGTGGAATGTAAAGTGACCAGAGCAAGTACACTAATAAATCACAACAAGAACAACTCTATGACTCCATAAGAAATACAATGGCTCGGGTTCTTCCTGTTGGCACAACAGCTTAAAGCACTGCATAATGAAGCTTGCTGAAGCCACTGCAGCATGAGTTAGATCCCCGCTAGGGGGAGGTGACCCACATGGCGCCACAGACCTCTCCTGACCCACATGCTGCTCCCTTCAAAAGTGTACTCTGTCGGGCCCTCCCTGGTGGCGCAGCGGGTTAAAGCACTGCACTAAGAAGCTTAAGCCAATTCCTCATGAGTTCGATCCCGCCTGCCCGGGAGGTGACCACATGGCGCGGCAGACCTCTCCTGACCCACCCACTGCTCCCCTCAGCAGTGTACTTCGTCGATCTGTCTGTTCTGCTCCCCCACTCTGTCCTGGTGAATCCTCTCACCCTCCACATCTCTGGCCTGTACCCCAGTTCTGTATGAATAAATAAATAACTCTAAAAAAAATCTTTAAAAAAAAAAAGAAAGAAAGAAAAAAAGTGTACTCTGTCAGTCTCCCTGTTCTGCTCCCACTATCTCTGGTGAATCCGCTCACCCACCGCACCTCTGACCTGTACCCCAGTTGAATAGTAATAATGAGTTATACGAACATATCATATCTCTTTATATGATCCCATTTAATAAGATTTTCTCTCTGAGGAGATTGCCCAGCGCACCTGGCACTGCTCACGAGGTGGCAGGCACCTGCTTCGTGGGCGAGGGACATGGCTCAGACTGCCCTCGTGTGTCGAACACAGAACCAGGGCCTAAAGGAGCCCTTCAGATCTGCAAGCCCTCATGCTGGGGCCTCACAGCGGGGGCATAGTTCTTGGGACTCGGGGTTCACACTTTATTCCCAGAAACGCTCATCCAGACTCGGGACAGGCAAACAGCAGTGGCTGGGACTCTGTGAGGCAGGAAGGACTCACCGAGATCTTGGCAATGCAGTCTTCGGTGGACTCCGCGGATTCGCACTCTATTTTCCCGCCACTGTTGACACTCCATTCATCACACTTAGCCCTCTCGTGGTGGCCAATGGCACACCACTTCACCTTCTTGCATTCGTCCTTTGAGACCTCAGTCCCTAGGACATAGGAAAGAGAGAACCCAAAGTCACATGAGGCACCAGGTGGTGCCCGCTGGTCCGAATGCCACCAGCTCTCCCCAACAACACCCCAACAGATTCTACTCCAGAAATCAACCTCTGAGAAAGCAAAGGCAATAATAATTTCTTGGTTGACCTGTTATTGCTTAGATTTAGTCTAAAATAATTGCCTTAGAGAAGCCTACTTTTCTTCCCCACCCTGGACATTATTACACTGGCTATGGGGGTGTTTTATTTTATTTTTTCAAAAAAATTTTTCGACTAGCTTTTAATTACCTGAGCTGTATTTGTTACTCATTGTTTATCTTCTGTTCTCTGCAGAGAAACAAAAACTTGGCCAGAGAAAAGTGTGCCTGTCTGGTTCTCCACGGCACCCTCTTTGTTCAGGGAACACAGGTGTGATTCATGGTCCATGCAATAATCCCTTAAGTATTCAGACTCAGTTCCAGGTCTCTTTCTCAAGGAAGCCTTACCTCAGCTCCAGGATCTGATTTTCTTTGTTTTTGTAAGATCAAGATACTTTGTTCTGACTTATTTCCTCTGACTATATGCCACTTGTAACTGATCATTCGATAGAATGACTATTCATTGAACATTTTTCTTCTCTGCTGGAGAGAAAGTTCCATGACAGTAGAATCTAATCTATGATTATCTCACTGTTATGTGGCCAACAGCTAGAATAGTTTATGACTGCATTGTCAATAAGTGTCTGCAGAGTGAATGAGGGCCCAATTGCGGGAGCAGGATGGGCCTGTCCAGATTTCCAACTATACTAGTCCTTATGTTGACATGGGCCTGGCTGCAGATAGGTAAGTTTGTAGCAATCCTAGCCTATTCTGTTCTGTTCTATTCTACTTGACTGACTTTGTGCCAGGTTAAAAGCTTCACAAAGGAGAACCCTGATTTATATAATGCTGGTATCGATTCAGTAATTTTAAACATGAATTTCCTTTAAGCCCTTTGGTGATGCCCAAAGCCATCTCATGATGATTAGTGCCATTTAACATCAGTCTAACACTGGGCAGCACAGGCAGGCACGTAAAGGAGCATCAGGGCATGTGCTCAGTATCTAGAAAGTACTGAGTTCCACCGTCACCCGTTTGCAAGCTCCTCAGATCACATCACGCTTCCTGAGTACACTTACGTGTCTCTTCCTTGATGTTCCGAAGAGCACTGACATACTCGTAACCCAGGAACATCCAGGTATCCATCTTAGCGGGAATCCTCAAAAACCCCTGAGCAGAGTCCTTAAACAGAAGGTCTCTTCCATGACTGTTGCCAAAGATCTGGAATGCTTTAGATGTTTCTCTGCCAAAATGTTCCTGTGCATAATCAAACACAAAAAAATAGTGAATGGCTACAGTGAGAACTGAGGCTGCAAAATAGGGTTGAAGAAAAACAAAGACCCCAGAAAACGAAGTGTAAGAACAGCAAAAACAGAATTTAAAGCAGGAAACATTTGAGATGGCAGGAGAAGGCAGTCAGGCTGTTCTAGCAGACCCAGTGCATTGTCCACTCACAGCCTGCCCAGGGCCAGGCCACACCCTAGTTCCTGAAAGTGTTTCTGTGCCTCTCTTGTTGGCTGAGCTGACAGCTCACTGAGTACGAGAAATGCATCTGCCTCAGTGGCTGCCACTTCAACTTTTGGTAAGAAGAAACTCTGGACAGGAGGAAGTTGGCAGCCTGGCTTTCCACTACCCTGGGAAAACAAAGTCAAGGGAATGTAGCTCCCTTGCAAGTCAGGCTAAGGGACAGCAGCAGAAGTCCTCCTGGGAGATCAGGGAAGGCCACATGGGGGTAGAGTCTTGGCCTTGAAGGCCTAGTTGAGATGAAAAGGAACAGAATAGAGCAATAATTCACTGGTCTGAGTGCAAGGGCCTAGCAGTGATAGTACAGGACTAGGCTTTATGTGATCCTGACAGGACTCTGCTTGGGCACATTTTGACAAGTGAATGGCAGGTAGCATGGCTCCCACTATGTCCTAACTGCACAAGGACATAGTGGCCATAGTTCTGTCCATCCATAGTGGCCAGAAGGGACTGCAGGAAAAGCCCGAGTTCCAAGCAGACATCCCTGGATATCAGGCCTGACTGCCCTCTTCTGGCATCCCGAACACAGGAAGGGGGCCTGGTGGATGGGAATACCTGGGCATAGTTGAGAATCTCCCAAATCAGGTCCTCTTTGCCACCCAGGCTTCGGGCCACAACGGCATGGGAAGGGACCTGTGCCAGGAAGCACTCCTTGTAGTCTTCCACGGACTTCCGGGTGTTGTCCCTGCAAAGCAGCTCATACTGGTCCCTGTCGGCCTTGTTTTTCAGGTTCTCTGGGTGGGGAGGAAAGTCCAGAGGAGCCAACTTCAGAGAGTTGTCAGCTATGATCTCCCCTTCCCTTCCCTTTGAATCCCAGTGAATCATAAAATATGTCAACTGAGAAGTCTAGAGCAATTATTGCCCATACAGGATTGACTTCCCAACCCCCAAATAGATCTCATCTCAGTGGGCAGACTGTAGGCCAATGTTGGCCAGACCTGCCCCCAATCTTTTGCTTTGGCAAGACTGACCAGGATCAGAGTCCCTGTGTCCATGAGATTGAAAAATGGAAAGTGGCCCAGAAGTCCCAGTGGAGACCCCACAGGCACATACCTCTGCATAGGTAGAAACCTATGCAGTGAAAAAGGAAGAACATTCTAGACACATGTCTCACCACTGAGCATGAAAAAGGGATCAGGAAAAAAAAATAGGACCCACTGGTCAGAGGGGATCTGCAAATTCTCTCTCTTACCAAGTACCGTTGTGTGTTTGACAAAGGCCACCTCCCCAGCGCCATCCACCAGACACCTGTAGGGAAACACATGTTAGGGAGATTCCTGCAGGGCAGGTCCTTCTTGACCTTGGCATTCTGATCACACTGTCCAGTGCAGGGACTGAGGCTGTGAGATGATTTAGAGCATACACACCACTGAAATGCCTGTGTGAATGGGGTGCTAACTCCTAGAGTACTGTGATGGTGGGGTGGGGGGTGAGCTTGCAGAAGCTGGAGCTTCCTCCTCATGTGCTCCCAAGCAGCAAAAATATAGTAAAGGTATTTTAAAACAGAAGATTTTTCAGACTTTTAAATGAAGTTATAATGTCTCCTGAGGAAGGAAACGTGTCCAACTAAGGGAAAATAGGGACCAGGAAAGAGGCCCAAGGGGACCCTCTAACTCACTTGAAGGCACCAGAGTAGCCGAAGTATGGTTCGTGGTTGGAGCAGGCACACTTGTCAGCACCGCTGCCGGCGCACAGCTGACACAGTTGCGGGAACTGCTTCATATCCGCACAGGGCACACAGCTGCCCCCGAAGAAATTAGCCGCTGCTGCTCAACAGACAGAGAACACAGGGCATCAACCAGCCTGGCCACAGACAATTACAGACCCCAGCCCAGGCTCACTGGGGAACCAAACAAAACCAGTACATCCCATTTCACCCTCCTGCATGCTCATTCATCAAGATCAAGGGTTTCCAAAAGAGACTGCATAACTCCCGGCCCTCTCACCGGCCACACCCACACTCCCAAAGGACTACTCTGTGCTTACCACCCACCATTGCCTGTCTCAGGTTGCTAGCAGCCCCATTTCCTGTCTTGTCAGACTGCAAGGGGCGCAGGTCCCTCCTCAGAGCCTGACCAGAAAAAGGGAGACGCACTTGGAAAGGCGCAATGCATGCTCATGGCCAGCAGAAGCCACCAGAGAGAAACCTCCAGCAGAATGAAACACATTTGGTTGGCGGCAAAGGGGAAGGACCCCTCAGAAGCTACAGACACATCCTGTAACCTTGGCCCTGACAGAACATCCTTTTGTCAGGCTAGATACTCTTTCCCCCATTCTTCAGGACTGCCTCTGATGGAGTGTTGGGAAGTCAGAGAAGAAATGGTTCAGCTGACACCCCCTAGCTCTTCTGTCACAGCAGATCTGCCAGTTTACAGCTGATTCGCCTCCCCCCATCACACCCCCAGAGTCACCACATTTGTCTAATCATGACAGAGTGACTCCTGGGTGGCCAGTGTGGGCATCACGAGAGATGCCTACCAAGAGCACCCACCCTCCTGCCAGCTTACCTTTCAGCAGAGATTCATATGGCTGAGGCAACTGCCAAAAGAGGTAGCCCAGGGGAATGTACCAGCCAGCGGACCTTCCAAGGCCAGTGTGGCAGGTCTTCTTGCCTTTGAGCTCATTCAGGTTGAAGTTGGTGCCCTTCTTCACCACGGCCACAGCATAATAGTGGGTTTGAGGATCTACAATGACATGGTGTGAATGAAAGACCCTCCACCTGGGCTACAGGGGAGCAAAGGAGAGAGCAGAGGCCACACCCTTGGGGGGCGGGTTAGGTCACAAGGAGAAGGCAATAAGAAAAATCTCCCTAGGCTTGCAGGAGGAAGCAAGGGCTACAGGGAAAACATTTGTAACAACCATCCAGGCCAACACAGGTGAAAGGTGGCCACATACACATGTGCCCCAAATGTATTTCCCAACCCTTCTGTGCAGAGTATCTACCAACACCTACCAACTCAAACCCTGCAGAAGCAGAGTCCACATTCCTGACCTCCTTCCTCCTGGAAAGAGCCTGCCCTCCCAACATGTTCCCAGATCACCCCCATGGATAGACAGTTGCTTTTGGCAGAGGCATAAAGCTGTGGGACTCTGAGCATGGGCTCCAGCACGGTCTCTCACCTGTGTGTGGCATGGATGGATTTGGGAGGACTCCTCCATGAAGCTCTGAACCCCTGGGGTTCAGAGCAGGCTGCACACAGTTTTTGTTTCTGCTGTTTCTCTAGGTACCACATTTCCTGCTTCAGGAGGTCGGTGTCAAGACCAAAGCAGCCAGAGAGGCCCGTTACTGCCAAAAGAGCCCTACCCCCCCACCCCCGTTTCTCATTTACTCCCCATGATGAATGTTCATCAGTGTCTAATCTCCATTACTCGCCTGAACAAGACTCAGTATCTTCAGAACAAAACCAATGACTCCCTCCTGGGTTCCCAGGGAGAACTTACTGTCTTTTGATCCATAGTACTCTGCCACTACAGGCTTGAGGTTGTAGGGGGCCAGGCCTGCCTCGAACACCAAACCTGCGTCCAAAGTCACCGCATCTGCATCATTTGCCTGAAAGGGAAGAGACCAGACCCCAGTGAAGCATCAGAGGAATGCCCTCCTAAATGTGGGGGTGACCAGTGGGGTTTTGGCTCTGAGACCACAAGAACCCTCTCCTAGACCAGACCACATATAACACTGAAGACTTCATTGATCCACTGTCTTCTTATCTCTCCTGCATAGGAGAAGGGGTAGTTTATTTTTCTCTTTTCCCTGGTGACAAGTCTAGCTCTTGGCTCAGAATCCTATTGTGATTTTGCAGGACAAACCTGAATTTCAGAACCTTTACCTGCAGGCATCCCTGGGAAAAGCTGCCTCCCCACACCAGGCTGGGTACGGAGAACACACAGGTTCAAAAGGGTTTGTAATCAAGGACTCGGCTCCCTCTACAGGCCCTGCTCTTCACATATTTACATTTCCAGATCACGGAAGTGCTTTCATGTGCTGACCTCTTTACCTTGGGCCATCTGCTGAGGTCATTCTCAGGCCTTCTGTGGGGCCCTCCTTATGGGGAAGAGGAGCCTTGACCACCTTTTTCCGCTCTGGCTCTGTGCTCAGTTCTAGCCCTTCCTGTGCTGGGTCCAGACAACTGTGGGAGACGTGTTCAGTGACTGGCCTTTCTCTGGGCTTAGCTTCTTCCTTATACTCTGAGTTAAATGTAAAGCGCTAATTGTGACTTCATATGGCTCATTGCTCCTTTAATCCAACTACTCAGACATAGTACAACTCACTACCAACTCACATATAAAAGCAGAGACACAGAAAGTTTAAGAGGTTTTTCAGGGCATGTAACTAGTAATTCATGAGGCTGGGCTTTGAATTCAGGCAGGATTTATTTATTCCATTACACTGCTATTTTCTCATGCAACTTTTTTATTTGTTTGGTTCGGTTTCTGCTCCTACTACTTGTCATCTTTAAACTGAATTCACTTGAAATGTGATAAATATCTCCCCCTGAGGTCTAGAATTTATTTATTTTTAACTGAGAAATACCATATTATGTATAGGCACTTGATAAACAAAATTTACTGCATTTTCCGGCTTCAAACATCTCTAATCAAAATGACCTCTTTAGAAGCCCCTGCTAGTATTATAAATAGTTCTTAGTGATTAAATTACAAGGCACATGCTATAGCTCAATAATCTGAGTCATGTTATAGGTAAGTAATAAGACAATAGTATTTCTAAATAAAATAACAACAATAATGTAAACCACACAAAGTACTTGTTGAACTGAAACTTTTACTTTAATAATTGGGGTTATTTATGTTGTTATCATAATAAAATAAATAACATAAAATTGGCCACTTAACCATTTTTAAGTGTGTACATCGGTGCCATTACTACCTTCACCCTGAACAAGGACCATTTATTCTACAGCTATACACTGACATGAAACAATCTTTGCACTTCCTTGATATCACAAAAGGTAGGTTAAACCTCTGGAGACTTTCCCCTTGCATGCCACACACCATCGAATAAAAATATATAAGTAAACAAAGAGGAGCTTTAGCCAAAGCAATGAGTCTTGGGAGCTTAGTAGCCAAGGAGTTAAGTCCTAACTCATGGGGCCTGTGAGCAAAAGGCACTGTAAGGAGAAATTGGACCAGCAGGGTGGAGAGGCTTCAAGTCAAGCCAGACTTCCCACATACAGATAACCAAACTCAGACGAAGGTCAGCTCACACGGGGTGAGCATTCATGGGAACGACAGATTGGGGCTTTTGAGGCTTTTTGGAGTTTGGAACTGCTGTCCAATAGAATGGTGAAGACCTCTGCATGAGCACAGAGAAGGCTTAAGATCACAGAGGTAACTCTAGAAAAGGAAGTGATAGAATAAAAAGAAAATTTTAAACCGGCGTGTCTCAAAACAAAAACTATGACTGTTGAAATTTAAAAAGTGAATGAACATGTAAGAATTGTTCCTGGATACTGCCAGAAAGAAATGCAGAAGTGGAAAGTATGAAAGAAGGGTTAAGATATGGAGAGAACATTAAAGAAAGGCTAATGTGTTACCTTGGAGTCCTAGATAAAAAAAATTAATAGAGAGATGAAGAGGGCCTCCTCATGGAACAAGGAATAAGTCTCAGCACTAGGAAAGGTAATGGCAGCCACTGAGGCCTGAGTTCGGTCCCCAGCCAGGAAGCTGACCTAAGTGGCATAGCAGACCTCTCCTGTTCTGTCCCTACTCCCCTCCGCGGTATATTTCAGCCAATCTGCCTGTTCTGCTCTCCACTCTGTCTCTGGTGAATCCTCGCTCACACCCTTCTCTCGCAGCCCCCACTCCTTTTCCTGCATCTCTGGCCTATTTGCCAGCTCTTACATGCACAATAAATAAATCTTTTTTTAAATTATTTTTTTAAAAAGAGAGATGAAGAAAAGGTAGTATTTAAAGAGAAAATGGCTGCAAATTTTCCAGACTGATGAGAAACATGATTCCACAGATCCGACCTCAGCTGGCTAGTTCCACAAGCAAAGGATCACAGTGAAGCTATAGAACATCAGAAACCAAGGAAATGAAGTTGCAGAATTACCCAGAGATGATGAAAGGAATTAACAATGTAGCATCAGCGTTTTTGATGGCTAAACTGTAAGACAGTGGAATGATATGTTAAAACAGTATGGAAATGTCAAATTAGAATGATATAGTCAGCAAAATTAGCATTGGGGAGAAACAGGGTGATTAAGGCATTTACAGAGAAAACAAACACTCAATTGAGGAAACTTAACACCGAGAGACTGGCTCCAAAGAGGCACGAAAGAAATAATTCAAAGAAAAAACATCCCAGAAGGATGTTTTGAAATAAGATAAGAGACAGTGAATAAGTTAAGTGAAAAATATGGGTCACTTGAGATAGTCTTCTGTTTCTTTCTTCCTCACTCTCCTCTTTGAGTTTTTGGGTGGTGTACATACACACTCCTCCCCCACCCACAGATATGTATTTATATTGATTTATTTCTTCGTGGTGTCTACAAGTACATGAAGTATCTACTTGTTAAAAAAAAAGTGGACATAAAATATTAAGTACTGATTTCTAAACAAGGGAAAGGAAAGTCTGAGCTACTGTACTCCAGAGTCCTTTTATTCACTGGGAAGGGCCTTGGCAATATTTTACTGAAACACTTTGATAAACTAAAAGTGTAGAGCAAAAAATGTAAGAAAAATCATTAAAAATGTAAATACTTCAATTCACTACTAGGAGATAGGAAGCGTAGAATACAAGGAAAACAATGTAGGTAAACACACACACAACTCAATTTTGTTTTAATCAGAAAAGGAAAAATCAGAAACAGGCAAAGCAGTACTAAGATAAATCAAGAAACAATATATGAAGTAAATCCAAATGTGTAATAATAATGATAATCATAGTCTAAATTTACCACATGAAATAAATGAGATTGTCAGAGTGCATTAATAAAATTTAACCATCAACAGTTTTCACCTAAAACATAAGCACATAATTAAAAAAAAAAAAGCAATATGCACACAGAAAGTTCAAAGTTAAAAGAATGAAAAAAGATCTAAGAGGAGAATACTGACCAAGAGAAAGGTGATGTATCATGTTGTATCAAAAACAGAGTTACTCAAAAAGCACTGACTAAAAGAGAGAAAATTTCATAATGATAAAATATCAATTCCAGCAAGAACACTATAGATTATACTCTCATATGCTGTTGGCAGAATGAAAATCAGATTTGCATAAAAATTAAATACTTTTGGTATTGTCTTAAAATCAAATACACACCCCATGGCACAGCAAGTATGCTTCTACATATACATTTATTTAAGAGAAAAGGAGCTATCACTACCTTTGTCCCAGAAGATTTGTATAAGAATTATTCCTTAAGCCCTGATGGGAATAACAAGTAACTGGAAACCACCCAAATTGCCTAATGACCAGAAAAGAAAAAATAAATTGTGGTATCCTAACATAAAGAAGTATTGTAGAGCTATGAAAAGGAGTGAACAATAATCGGATTCAGCAACAATAGATACATTCACCACTGTAATTCCTACTACCATCCTAGTGAGGAGGGAAGAGTCAGCCTGGGAAGACAGCACACAGTATTGCCATGTTTTTCTAATTTTGTTTTTAAGAAGCAAAAACCATGTTGGCAGTCATTCACACATACCTACATAAGTCTTAAAATGGAAAGAAAAGTCCAGAAAATCTTAGGATTGACTCTATTTGTTCTGGACGGTAAGTGCTGGATGGTAACTACATGAGTAGTGTAACATATGCCAGCAAGTTATACCACCCTAAGTGCCGGCGGGACCATTACTGCCCCACAGTAGTTCTAGAAGTAATTGACAATAACCAAATTTGGCAAGCAAGTGGTGACTGGTATTATTTTATATTATTGATATTATATTAAAAGTTAAGAGAGGCAAGCCCTCCTGATGGCGCAACAGGTTAGAGCTAGCATTGGGAAGCTGGCTGTGGCCGCTTCAGCACAAATTCAATCCCTGGCCAGGGAAGTGCTGCCCACACAGCACAGCAGACCTTTCCTGACCTGCCCGCTGCTCCCCTCAGCAGTGTGCTTTATCAATCTGTCTGTTCTGCTCCCCACTCTGTTTCTGGTGAATCTTCTCACCACCCCTGCACCTCTGCTCCAGTTCTGTATGCATAGGTAAATAAATCTTTAAAAAAAAAAGTTAAGAGAGGTATGTATGGATCAAACCTGGGAATATGTCATATATCAAGGATTATAATTAAGTCATGATCGTAACTAAGTCATGATCGTGTGTCTCAGACACACACACACGCGTGCGCGCACACACACAGACACACACACACACACAAACGCGCGCGCACACACGTTGTTTTTGCAGAATCACTGATTCCTTCAGTTAATCATGCGCTATCTGGCTGAGTTTCCATCTCCTACCTCATCCCTCTTTCCAGCCTCCTGTTTGTTCTATTCTCACCCTGGCTTCCCTCCAGCAACTCTGACAAGCCCAATTATCCCCTCTTTCCTGTCCTTTGTATAAGCCATTGTTTACTGCCTGGGGGATTCTACCCACACTCTTGGGAGGCTCATCCATGCTTAATCCTGGGGTATCAGTTTTATTGCTTCACCCCCAGGGAAACTGACACCAACACAAAGCAAGTCACCCCTGAATTCTTTCCCCTTCACAGTTTGTACACATCCTGAAATGACATGTCTGGTGGTTTGCAATATTTTCTTCTCTTCTGACTAAACTGCAATAAGTTCCTCAACACTCAGGACCACACACACACACACACACACACATACACATTTAAGTACAGGAATGACCTTCACAGTGTGGTTGGGACCAGCCATCACCTGCCATCCCTACACAGTTCCTCTTCTCTATGAGCAGGTCTCATCTACTGCCCACATATCAAGAACTTCCAACCAATATTATGGGACCATTTTGATATTCTTGTTTTTCCTTGAGTTCAAAGAATTAAGTGGCTCAGAAAAGTCACCTCTACTAGCATGCTGGATTTTGCTTATGTCTCATTAAAGATTACCACTCCTACTTCCATTTCCAGAGTGATTTCATTAGCCGTGGGGTGTTAGCGTCTCACACCTCAGCACCCCTGTGGATGAATACACAACTGGTCCCATGTGACAGGAGAAAGTGAAGTGTGGATTTCCTCCCTCTCCCATTAGACAGCAGCAACTTACCGAGATGGCCTTGACGCACTCAAGAGGAGAGCTTTTCTTCACACAGGAGAGACTCGGACCATCTGCAGAAAGGGCTTTTCTGAAATCCTGGCACTTTGCTTCCTCATGATTTGAGAGGGTGCACCATCTCACATTTTTATCAGAGACAGCCAGACACAGCCCTAGGGGAAAGAGGCCAGAAGTCTCTGAGTCACTGGGAGAAACCAATATCCTCAGAGGGTCTTGAAGGCTAAGTCTTGTGTCCTCCCACCTCCCACTCCTGTCCATGAACACTGCGGGGCACAGGTTCCACTGCGTTCTGAGGCTGAGTAGCTCATGACCTCCCTATTAACTGCTGGGTACCCTGTGCTGACCAAAGGGGCGCCAACTAGACCATCGGCCCTGATTTGGAGACCGCATCTCCTCCTCTGTGTTCACCATGCCTTCTTCTCTCCCCATCCAGGGAATGCCATGGTGCTTAGCCTCTTTGGGATGACAGATCATTTTTAACCATTTCAAGGCACTGGCTTGACACCACAAGTCAGGGAAGCTGACAGGATAGAAATTAGTATTTATTTTAAAGATTGATTTATTTATGCATACAGAACTGGGGTATAGGCCAGAGGTGCAGGGGCGATGAGAGGATTCACCAGAGACAGAACAGAACAGGCAGACCGATGGGTACATTGCTAAGAGGAGCAGTGGGCAAAACAGGAAAGGTCTACTGCACTGTGTGGGTCACCTCCGGGGCCAGGGATCGAAATAGCACTGAAGTGGCCGTGGCTAGCTTACAGTGCTGTGTCCTAACCCTTGTGCCACCAGGGAGGGCCCAAAATTAGTATTTTTAAGAGGTGAAGGAGCAGAGTTCAGAGAGCAATGATGATTTACCACATGTCACACAGCCTATTACTGACTGAGACTGGCATAGAAACCAGGTCTCCAGTCTTTGGTCTCTGCCCAGGGAACAAACGAAGATACCCTTTTGTGCTGTTTTCCCCAACTTGGCCAGCAGAGGTAAATGATTGCTGAGATAACAAACTTGCCTTGTCATCCTGTGTTCCAGGGACAACTAGAAACTCCAAGATGGTTAGTTTCCCTCAGCTCCTCCCACCAACTTTCCCTTCCCCTTGGCAGCCATTAGCCGAAGCTAAAACTACATCTGCAGTCATAAAAAATCATATAGTTATAGATGTACAAGTATCGTCCCCATCACGCGAGAATTGGCACTGCCCACGCCCCCTGCCCCATCTCCGCTCTGTGACCAGCACAAAGCTAGAGAAGAGGAGCACAAGAAGACTCCAGTTTCTACAGGGTGCATATGGAGACCACCACCTCTTTATCCCACCTCTTTATCCCACCTCTGCCACGGAAAATTACAGGAGGCGTCATCAGCTGGTGTAGACGCTCCCCCAAAACCACCTCGAAAACCACCCCGCCAGACTGCGGGGAAACTTCCCTACTGAGATCCTTTGGGTAGGACTTGTCCTGAATCATGCATTCACTTTACACAGACCTATAAATTGTGTGTATCGGAGGTGGGGGTGGGAGGGAAAAGGCAATTAATGTGGGGGTGACTCTCAAGGGGAGACTTTTTTCAGGAGAGACAAATAACTAAACATGGAAACCTTCAAAAGTGTAGTGAACATAAAAGGGCACAAAATCCCAGCAGGTGGTGAAAGCGAGAGAGGTCACCAGAGAGGTAATCCCGGAAAGCGCATCACAGCACCGATGTGTGCAACGAACTCCGATGTGTGTAACGAACTCCACTCTTCTTGTCCCCTGATCCTGAGCCTCACCTGACTCTCCCAGGTCGGGACTATACCTACCCTTCGCATTTGACGCCCAGTTCTGGCTTCATACCCCACGTTCTGCGCCACTACACGCAGGACTTCATCATCACCTACGGCTCCCATGGCATGTCAGACTGCCAAGGGGTTGGGTCAGATCCTGTGAGGCTTTGGATGTCCTGCTAACCAGTCTGAACTCGACAAAGAAAGCCACAGCAAGGGGATAAACACGGTGGAAAGGCTGTTTTACTACTACATGCTTACTGGACAACTAGAGGAGAAAAGAAGACACGCAAAGGTGGCAGAGATACAAGCAGGACCTGCCGGTGAGAGCAAGGGTGTGATGTCCCCGAGGGACCGAAGCAGGTGCACGGGTACAGGCGGGACGGGAGAAGGAAAAGCCATCCATCCGGCTTGCAGTCCCAGCGCAGCGCGGATCCCAGGGTGCAGGGGAGGCAGAGCGCGTCCCGCTGGCAACTTGACCCTTCCAGGAGCCCTCACTCACCCAGGACAGCGCTGGCCAGCAGGGCGCGGACGGCGAGCCTCATCCTCCCGGGTCTGCTGCGAGCAGTCGCGAGCACTGACTGACCAGCTTCTGTGCCGCTTTCCTGCGCACAGCGCCCCTTTATCCCAACCCAGCACAATCTTTGACCTCCCTCTCATGTTTGCGCAGCTGGCTTGCCCAATCTTCCCTCGGCCCTCCCCCTTCATTCCTCACCCCTGCTGATCACCTCATTTCCCGAGCTCGAGCTTCGGGACAAAACGGACGATGGAATCGAGCCCAAAAGTGCTGATTGGAAGGGAATTCAACAAAAGATCGCCCCCTTGCTTGTGCAGGCTCCTCAGTGCCAGGAAGCGGCTACCGCGAGCTGGAGTGGGGAGTGGAGGTGGGGTGCGGGGAGGCTCTGCCGCCAAATGCCTGGATGCTGGAGCTGGAGCTGGTCCTGCGCCAGTCTGGGGCGCTCATTTCACCGATGAAAGGCTGAGCGGGAAAGGGAAGCGACAGCTGGCCCGCAGAGCCACAGGAGGACAGGACAATGACAGGCAAAAAAAGAAAGAAAGAAAGAAAGAAAGAAAAAACTCTGGGAGAGGGGATCAGAGGAAAATTAAAATGACCCCCAGAGACTCAGCGCCCTTCATGTGTTCCCAGGTGTCCTGGAAATCTGCTCCTGGGCTCTTGAAGGCCCCAGTCAGAAGCCACTCTCTTCCCGTGTCCCGCTAGCTAAGGCTCTGCAGGAGAAAGGTTCTTTCCCTTCATGCAGGCCGCCAGATAGCTTAGCCTAGGGACAAGTCACAGAGGAGACATTTCTTTCCCACAAGAAAAGCTGCCCAAGAATGTGGGTGATCAAGACCAAGAATCACAAGGTAACAAGTGAATACAGACTGATCTCCCTGTTCCTGGCCATCCTCAGCTCCCTCCAGTCAAGCTCTGTCCAGGTCTTTCTGATTTTTCTCACCAGGAAAAATAATGAGGTCGTGTATTCTACTTACGTACTTTAAAAATGTAATGGGGGTAACGTGACTTTCAAATATGCACTTTTAAAAACTAACATATTGTGTACCTTTCAACCATGAAAGGTACAGATCAAACATTCATTTTTAAATGCTGCTTTCTGTACCTAAACAATACCTTCAGGCAAAACATGCTTTTGGTAGAAGGTCATGGTTTCTGATGGGTGATGCAGTAAATCCACATTCTAGAGCCTCATAAAGACAATTTTATGGTTCTCCGAAAACTTGCTTCTTATTCAATCTGATCAGATGATGATGATTTTTGACTCTATTTATACTAATTAATTTATACCAAGGCAATAATTTATACCAATGAAGACATTTTTGTTCTGTTCACTTGTATTTACGTCACCAGAATCATCTAATTTTCTGCAGGAATCGATTTGTGGCTTGTGCATCTTATAAAGTTTAGTTGATTAGCTCACATTACCTAATCTGTACATGCATTTTACTGACCATACAACCACAAATGTGGAACCACAAAGCCAGAGCAAATGCCAGGTCAGGAAGTCACAACACCCATCAACTCCTCTGTACTCTCTACCCTTTAAGGGGTTCCCCCTTCCCTCAAAATACCTCACAGCCTCTTCATGACCTGTGTCTATCTGACCTACAGACCAAGTGGGAGACAGTGTAAATCAACATGTTAAAAAGTGAATGTTTTTAATCTTTTGTAATGAGAATAGACATAACTATAAGTTAGAATACCCCATCTCCTATACAAGGGGTTGTCCACACCTCACTTTAGAAAGCATTGCTTTATCAGGGGTTTCTGTTTACTGTGGGGAAGTAAGAAGAGCCTGCCATCCAGTCGCCTGCCCCTCATGAAGAGGAGTGGTACTGTGCCCCTGTCTTTCTGTTCCTGCCCCTCATGGGCTCTCCCGCTCAAGTCGTGGAAAACCCAAGTCTTGGCAGGAGGGGCATATTCCTACCACCCCCTGCAGCAGGCATGGGCGGGTGGCGGTTGGGGTCTGGCTTCATGAGATGGAACTTGAAGTACAGAAACAAAGATGGAGAGGGAAAGTTAGGGCCGGCTGGATGGCCGGGGCTCTGCCAGCCCTGTGCCCACACGCCAAGGATGCCTTCTCTAGGCCAAGGCAGTCAGCTGGCAGCATCAGCCAGGAAGTAGGAAGGAGACGAGCTGAATTTTGATCAATCCACAGGCTCAGGGAAGGGGGGGGAGGAGAGGGCCTGGAAGGCAGACAGACCTTCATTCTTTCCTACTACCCTCCCTCCTGGCGCTCTCAGTGACCCTTTCCTGAGGCAATTCCTCCTTGCCAGGAAGAGCCTACCCTGAACCCCTAAAAGGGGTCACCATAGCCAGACTGTGTCCTCTCCATGCCCTGTGTCATGGAGCCTTCCAATTGCAACCTAAGAGAGGTGCAGGTGTGGAGTTGCAGAGCCCACACTCTGGAGGAAGGTCAGGTGTGACATGGAAAACAGGAGTTCCATGTCATTTATGCACATGAGGCAGTACGCAGGGCCTTCTTCTGGCTCTAGAGAAGGACAAACACAGAACTCTGTGTCTGCCCCTCTTTGGAGGTAGGGTGAGGCTGACTGTGGGATGTTCGCTTGTGCATGAGCCTGGTCACATGGCTTTGCCCACATCTTTAATGTATATGGTGGTATGTGAAGTGAGAGGTTAACAACGCCATGTTTCCTGTTCCTGGTGGCCTATGACACTTGTATCCTGTGTTCTCCCTTATGGTGTTTAGCTCTGTACCAGACTCGTCAGGAGTCTTGGTGTCTCTTTCTTACAACTTGATGGCTAACACTTACTGAGAGCTGTACAGGAAGCTTCCCCTGGCCTCCTGTGATGGTGCGTTAGAATCCCCATTTCACAGATGAGATGAGGAAACTTGGACTCTGAGAGGTTAATAACTTATCCAAAGTCAGCTGGTGAGTCAGAGGCAAAGTCAGGCCATGTGGTTCCAGAGTACACATACCCATCCACCAGGGCCTCTACCGAGAATCCGGGATACTGGAAAGACCCAGGGACTCACTGGTAGCCCCAATGACAGAGGGCAGACAGCCTAGATTCCTCCACCAGCAGGTTTTGGTCCTCAGAGAGGCTGGAGCATCTGAGAGAGGTCTGTGTGGCCCAATGTCAGAGTCTCAGACATACATTAGCTTAATGTGCTCAGAAGGAGGGATAGTATCGAATGAGGAAGTGAGATTGGGAATAGGCAGTTAGTCAGGGTCAGGGTGCCCCAACTAGCAAAAACAGGATGTTCAGAAAACCAGCACAATAACAAAGAGGGCCAAAAGCCCATTCCTGGAAGACAGAGCAAATTACACAGGGAAGAAGACCAATTGGCTCACAAGTAATCACTAAGGGACATGGCAAAGAGTACCCTTACCCTGGCCTTCTCTCCATACCCATATAAACTCCTGCTTCTTGGTCTTTGGTCTCTCAGGACCTCTCTCTGCTCAGAGAACTTTCCTATCCTACTTATGTGACAATAAGTTTTTTGCTTTTCTGCCTAACCCTGAGCTCAATGTTGAATTCTTTCCTCACAGAGACAAGGACCAAGAGCCTCTTGGGTCTGTCTCTCAGCCCCCAGCCCAATTCAGTATCATGTTTTCAGTGTCCAGTGTCCTTCCATGTATCCAGTTACCTTGAGAGACAAGATCACAAGCCCACTTTGCAGATATGGACTATCCAACCCAATCCAGGTCCTCCCCCAGAGTCTGGGCCTGCCTTCTCCAGAACACAGGTGCCTTCTTGATACTGATCTTTATGTTTACAGAAGAGGAAGGGAAAAAGAGAGCAGAGAGGGAGCAAAGGAAGACAAAAGGAGGAAGGGAGAAGAAGGAAGAGAAGGGTAGGCGGGAGGAGGAGGAAAATTAATAAGGGCTTCCAGTTACAGACCAAACCAAGTCTTGACCCAATTTTTTTTTTTTTACCATAAACTGAATAAAGCCCTTACATTTAAATCGGATTAGCCTTCTTATAGAAAAAGCTGCACGTATGTGTACGTGCAGAGGAGTTGGGTAGCTGACCTGAGGAGGAGGGACAGGAAAGCTGGTCCTCTGAATCAATATTTGTTTCCAAGTGTTGCTTCATTTACAAAGAAGCAGAACAAACAAAGAGCCTCTGTCTGCTTGACCCAGCCTTCCTCTGCCTCCCGCTTCCTGTTCTCTGCCCAACACCAGGGCTTCTGTGCAAGAGCTGAGCCTGGGTTATCAGGAAGGTGGGATTCTGTACTGCGAAGGGATGCTCACGGACCTGGTAGCCCATATGCCTGCTGGCTCGGGGACAGTGTCGCCAAGTACCCGGAGCAAAGACAGTCAAGGTCCTCTTAGGCCAACATCAGGCAATGTAAAGTGCCAGCTAGCCTATCTCTCTTTCAGTTCTTCCCCTCAAAAGTCCTTGAAGGAAGAAAGATTTTCAGATTTCCTTTCTCTACCCAGGGAGTCCATGCAAATAGCCTTTTCATGAAGATCAATCCAGAGTCAGCAAATCTACCAAGCTGTTAAGAAAAATTAGAACAATTTTATACATACTCATGCAGGGAACAGAAAAAGAAGTATTTCCTGAATAAGTTGCTGAGGCCAGTAAGAACAGATTGAAAGCAAATCCATCAAGGACATAATGACTAAGTTAAAAAAAAAAATACCCAAAGTATCAGCAGATTAAACCCATCAATATTTAAAAGGGATACCAAATCATTGGGTTTGTTCCAGAATGCAAATTATCTTTTGAAAAAATCAATCAGAATAATTGAGAAATATTATATAAATTTGTCAATAAGTATCGGGAATAATTTAGTTAAAATTAACATGCAATCACTGTAAAGCCTCTAGCAAATTTATCCTAGGAAGCTTGCTTAGTCAGAGACAGACAGAGAGACAGACAGACAAATTATAGTCAGGGGTCTAATGGATTGAAAGCTTTCCCTTGGTTATAAAAAATAATCAGATCTAATATTAATATTTCTATCCAATTCATTTGATTTGCCAGTCTAGTCAGGTAAGAAGACAAATATGTAAAAGTACTGAAAAAAAAAACTTGTTTTTTCAGATGATATGATTATATTTGCACAAAATTCCAAACTATATTAAATATTAGAAAAATAAATGAATTAGCATTATATCTGGATGCAAGGTAAATATCTTAAAAATCACTTGTAT